TGTAATTGTATCGGTAGGTACGTAATTTAAAAGAAATACAAAAAATATTATATTTTTATGCGAGTGTACAACCTTTACGGTGGCTACGCCATCTATCAAAGTAGAGACGAACGAACTGAAGCTACAGAAGCTAGTTAATCTACTCTGCCATAGAGGTCGTCTTTTTTTTTAATGTAATGGATATCTAAATTAATTAAAAAATATTGTTCTTCGGCTCTCTCAACTAATTAAAATTAATTATTAATTCAATTATTTATTAATATATTAATATTTATTGATATCCAAATAAATAATAAAAGCAATTAAGTTAATGAATCCGAACGGATTTGTCTATGGAAATATTAAGGAAGTAGCTTTTTGTCTATGTTTTCTCTTCTGTCAAAAAATCTGCCGACCGCCACATGTCAGGCGAATTTGCTGAATAAATTTTTAATTTTTTACTAAATAACCCTAAAAATGGTAAGTTACTGAAGAATATATAGCACCAAAACAGTTATACGTTCAATAAGTGTCGTGAATAATTCTATAATCATGAATTTGGAACTTCATTTAGTTTTTCTCTTACTCACCTTCATGTGAGTAACCACGAAATTGTTTATGATGAACTTGTTTTCTTGTAGAAACCTCTTATGCTGCAAGGGCACGAGCGTGCCATCACACAAATCAAGTATAACCGTGAAGGAGACTTACTATTTTCTGCGGCGAAAGATTCTAAGCCTAACGTGTGGTGGTCGCTAAATGGAGAACGCTTGGGCACTTTCAATGGCCACGGTGGTGTGGTGTGGTGCCTAGACGTTGACTGGCAAACCATAAACTTAATCACTGGAGGAGGTGACAGCTCTTGCAGGTAATGCATCCCTTACAGACTTGATACAAGCAGTGAAAATGTGAAGTCACTTTATCAAAATATTTAAAAAAAAAAAAGAACCCTTTTTCTATGTTTTTAAAAGAGTATCCGCTGCATTCTTGGAACTAATTAAACATCATATTATTGGCCTATCTATTTACACAAATACAATATTTAATTAATTTTTTTGCAGACTATGGGACTTGGAAACTGGAAAGAATATAGCCACTATTAAAACAAACTCCTCCGTGAGAACATGCAACTTCAGCTTCAGTGCCTACCAAGCCGCCTACACCACTGACAAGGCTATGGGTCACCCTTGCGAGGTAATCTTTTAGCAAATGTACAACATGCTTTATTAGTTTCTTATTGCTTTTTGTTTTTTTTTTTCACAAACAAGTCACAATAGAAACCTTTGATATTATTTGTCAGCTGTTTGGTGTAGTGGTTCGAAACGGACTACTATTCCGGAGGTAGCGGGTTCGATTCCCGCACAGTACAAACATTTGTGTGCATGAACATATTTGTTTGTATTGGACTGGGTGTTTTCTATGTATAATAAGTATGTATTTACAAAAAAAAAAAAGTATTTAAGTATGTTTATATCCGTTGTCTAGTACCCATAGTACAAGCTTTGCTTAGTTTGGAACTAGAAGCGCAGTGTAAAATGTCTAAGAATATTTATTATTATTATTATATTTAACTAAGTTTACTACAATTTTTACTGTAATTACAGAATTCTTCTCAGTAATCTTTGTTATTATGAACTAACTAGCTTCTGAGCCCTATTTTTTAAGTAAAGAAGGGACATCAAGCTATAAAATGATAAAGATCCTCTTTTATGCCCAGTCATAATAATTTTAAAAAACTTATTTTTTGTTTAGCAGCACAATTTTATTCTACTTTCAGGTCTTCATCATTGACACTAGGACGATTGATGACTCAATATCCTCGCAGGCTCCTATCCTGAAGTGGGAAATAACAGACTCGAAAGTAACCTCCATGGTGTGGGGAACTCTCGATGAAACCATCATCACTGGTCATGAAGCTGGTGACCTCATTCAATGGGATCTGAGGGTAATTTCACTATATTTTTAAATTCTGTAATAGATAAGGCTAAGTGTATTTATTCTAAGGCTACAGGACCAGACAAACTTTCACTAGGCCAAATTTTATTTTACCATAAATTATACTTTCTATAGACAGGATATTATCCTCAATGTTACTCTCTCACTAGGAGCATTCATGATTGATTATGTGATTTTTCCACCACCACCAATTTAACACCAATTTCTTTTGTTTTACAGACTGGCAAGAAAGTACATTCCATCAAAGAACACACGCACCAAATCAATGACATGCAACTGTCTCGCGATGGAACCATGTTCATCACTGCTTCTAAGGACCAGACTGCCAAGCTGTTTGACACAAGCTCTTTGGAGTTACTCAAGGAGTACAAAACTGAGCGTCCGGTCAACTCTGCTGCTCTCAGCCCCATTCTCGACCATGTAGTATTGGGTGGTGGACAAGACGCCATGGAAGTAACAACTACATCAACGAGACAGGGAAAATTCGATGCGCGTTTCTTCCATTTAGTCTTTGAAGAAGAGTTTGGCCGAGTGAAAGGTCATTTTGGTCCTATCAACAGTTTAGCGTTCCATCCTGACGGCAAAAGCTATGCATCCGGTGGTGAAGATGGTTATGTTCGTGTCCAGAGTTTTGATCAGTCCTACTTTGACTATACTTTTGATTACAACAGGGATTGAATCTGTATTACTAGAAGTGTATTAAGTAATGTTGTGGAAAATTCTACAATTTCTAATAAAGGTATCACAAAATGTTTCCATGGCTTATAATATTATTCATTCTCCCTAACAAAATGGATCATTCCATCAAAATTAGCCAGAAACAACTATTTATCAGTGTACTAACACTAGCTACTTTCACAACACCAACACTTACAAAATAAAACAATACTGAATTACAATATGCAACAATTTAATATACAAAATATTCATCTAATTACATACACTTGGGAATACTTTTCGTCTTTCTGTTTGTTCACTTATCACTTTTCCTTAACAATACTTAGAGAAAATATGGAGTGGTATGTTGTGGAGGCACTTCTCTTTCACTGTCAGGAACGGCTTGAAATAGTTTGGCATTTCTGTCATTTACAGTTTTGAACTCCAGGATGGAAGCCACATTGCCACAGCGGTAGCAATAGTTGGGTGCTGACCAGACTGTGACTAATCGTTTATCAAACATATATTTGTACCCTGAAAAAAGAAAAATATGAATTAGCTAAGTCTTTCGAGTGGACTAACTTTGCTGTTTAATTATGGTATGAGAAGATTACCTTCATTCACTAGTTGATGTGCTCTGCAAATCAATGACAATTTATTGTAATCCATGAAAAGTTCTGTGACAAAGCTTCCAAATAACCACCCAGCTCCTCTAGGACTCACTGACCTGAAAAATCATATTTGACCATCAAAAACATACACTGCAGAAATAAAACTAAATAATTTTAGATTTCAAGGGTACAAATTGACAGTTTTTTTATTTGATTGAATCTATTTGTCCAATTTCAATTTGGAATGTAGTTTAACTCACCACATCTTAACATCAGCAGGGTCAGACCACAATAGATCACAGAATGCTCCTTTATGTGGTATCTGCTGGTTCCTGTCTATGCATCGGATCTGGTCTAACATGGATATCTCTGGTGATAGACCTCCATGGACACATAAAACTGTTTCGTCTATCAACTGCAATAATAACCATAGTTGAATAAACTGAACAATCAACTGCTATCATAGAAAGATAATTCGACTAGGAAACTGGGTTGGGGAAGAAACGAACAAAAAGTAACTTACAGCTGCCACTGTCAAAAGGTCAAACACCCTACAACAGTCCTTCCAAGCATTGGCATTTCCATATTTGTTGAGGCATTCATCATAAAAACCATATACTTTTGTTATTTGACAAGTTTCATGGTTTCCTCTGAGTAAAACAATTCTGAAATGATATTAAAAATCTATTAATTTGTACATAGCTTAAATAATTCTAGCTTGATTGAAAAAAATTCAAGATAATATTTACAAAATCAATTATGTATATTTCTGCTCACCTATCTGGATACCTGGCTTTGAGTGCCATGAGCAAAGTTAATGTTTCTAAGCTGTAATAACCACGATCGACATAGTCTCCCATGAATATGTACTTGGTGTGTGGAACTTGTCCCCCTATGTGAAACAATTCTTCTAAGTCATAGAACTGAAAACAAAAACAATTTTATTGGACACACTGAAAAATTATCAAGATGTTTGTTAACTAATTAGATAATCATTTAATTTTGTTTTTGCAATTTTATTTAATTTGATAAATGTTTCAGGTTTTGTTACATTAATTTATTTATTTATCACAAGTAAAAATATTATTTTTTGACAGTCACAATTCTAATTAGGACAAAGAGATAGACTCAATGTAACAACAAAGACATAGGGCTAGTAATTAACTTGATACTGGAGCGATACATAAATCAAATCAGGTGAAACGTGAGTGAAAATGAGTAGTAGTCACATTTCACAGACTAAACCCCAGGGCACCGTTGTTATTTTTGCTAGAGAAGATAAGTGTTCTATTTAGTCTTTTAAGACGTTACCTGGCCATGGATATCTCCACACACGGTGACTGGAGTCTGAACCGGCTGTACATTGGGCTCTTCCAACAGCAAATCGCACACGATGTTGCACAATTCCCGTAAATCATCTTCGGGTAAATATTTACACCTTTTAGCTATTTCAATCCACTTATCTACGTCACTCATTTTTAATAATTTTAGAAAAAGGCGTTTCTTGTATTTTTTTCTGTAAAAACCTTTTGAAGAAACCCAAAATGACGTTTGTTTGACGTTGACACATGACCTGACATTAGGTAGGGATGCCCGGTGATAACGATATTCGATGAACAATACTCATGCTCAGAAATAAACCATTGCATTGATATTGCATTTCAATCTTTGTAAAACTAATTGTTGTTGTGAACATTCACAGAGTACTGCGAAAAAAGCATTTCACTCTCAATTGTTTTTATCTTAGATGTTTTATTGTCATATTTAAGTCTTAATTATATGACGATTGCAAAAAAATGTTTTCTTTTTGATTCGATTTGAATTCATACCGTAATCGAGGTTTTTAATAATTCGAGCATGCCTAGCTTACATGTTTTTTTTTTAATTGTGATTGTGTTTTGCCAAGCGTGAAGTATTCTAAAAGAAAAAAAAGTATGCTTTGATCGAGATTGATGAGATTATTGGAGGAGACACTTTATGGCAAATTTAATTTGATATTTTTTTTGATGCACCTATTCTGCAGATTTCAATCATATAAGTATTGTTGATTTTATAGTTCGTCGTTAATTCCTCTATGGTTCTTCGGCATGGTTGCCGGAGGAAGCCACCATAGCAACGACGAAAGGAACTAATCGGGTACATATCAGTTGCGAAAAATATCTCACCCTTGTTTGGTGCGGATTTCATCACAGACGCGGGATTTCCGCGCTTGCGTTCCCTTGGTGTGTCCATAATGTCCTTTTCATACAAGTATTATTTTGTAACGCTCCGCATCTGTGTTTCTATTCAAATAAATGGGATTAGTAAATAAATAAAAAAGACATTTTATAGACAAGAGTTTATTAACGTGAAAACAAACATGCAAGTACATTTTTTAAATGTTATTACACTTTGTTATTCATATAAGGTGCTGTTGATATGCTGCTGTGAATGGGTTAAACATAATTATTATGACTACTAACTTAATGCTAAAGCATGTATTTCCAAAAACCAATTGCAAAAGGACGGATCTAAATTCGTTTTTTATTTAAAAAAAATGCACTAGCAAGCTTTTATTTTCCGCTGAAAAACCTTTATAATGAGACAAAACATAAAAATAAAACGTAGTATTTCATTGATAACAACAGATTGTTTTGCAACTATAATGATAGTGGGTAATGATGATATAATACTACGCTACAAATACTAAATCTAAGCTTGGCCGTTTACACAATAGGTGTCAAGCGGGAAAAGGAAACTCAGCCCGTTTTAACATAATATCACTAGGTCGAATTTGCAAGGCATCACCAAATCACAGAACGATATTTTAGACATTGGTACAGTTGGTACTGCGACATTACATGAAGTGACCAATTTACAAAAACATTCAACCTACAAGTCTCAAATTACTTTCGATAGGCCATCCAAATTAATCAAATGCAATAAAAAGCATTAAAATAAATTATTCTCGCGTGAACAAGGTAATAATACTTAAATAATTGCTATCCTAATTAATGATTCAACAAAACAACAGTAAAAAGCATGCCTTAGCAATTTCGAGTTATTTTGTCTAAGTTATGAAAATTTTCATCATTTTCAGCTATAAAAATACTTAAACCCGAGAGAGTACCAAGTGATCACAGATTCTGAAAGTCCGTTCATATCAGTACAAAAGTAACCAACACTTTAAAACGGATTAACCTATTACTACGCACAGTATGAAAGCTGATTCATGCCCATTCCAGGAGTCACATAACATTGGTGCACTTACCTACATTTATAGCTTACTCTCACAATATTATTAAATAATAGTCTATGTTAATAATCTACAACATTATTTCATTGTTAAATTGATGAGCATGTATCTGATTTCATTGCCTGTCATAAGGAAGATATGCTAATATTATATTGCTATGCTAACGACAGTCAAGGTTTGTCAGCCAGTACCCTGAATAAAAAAAAAACAAATGCAAATTACTTTGGCAAATAGAAAAGTTAATTTATTACACACAACCTTTCCCTAACTAACGACTAATTTCGATAGTTAAAACAGTAATAAATAAAATTTGAAACACAACAACTATTGAGTACTGGCGTTTAAACTCCGCGGAGGTGAAATGACATACTGTATAGAAATACGTTCTTTTATAAGATCTAAATAAAAGAAATATCCCCTATTGTCAAATGTTTGCCCCCCTTTTTATCGTCACAAAGAACACATAGCAGTGAATGAGCGCCAGGTGCCAAGTTTTGAATAACCAAAAAGACCCTGATAAGAACATTTCTAAGCTACGCATAATAAGCTTATCTTACCTAGAGATACACACTTTATACTTACGAATAAATATAAGCAGTACGAAACTACTTGCCAAAACTTATTTAACAAATCAATTGTGTACTGTTTACAAAATTCTCACATAAAAAATACATTGTATAATGTTAATAGGTAGATTGCAGAATCAGCTAAACCGTATAAACTGGATGGTTGCCTTGATTCTAAAACCTTCCTAAAATTAAGAGGTAATTTTAGACGCTGCCGCTTAACCCTGGTAATAATGTAAACTAAAATAATTGTCAAAAAGCTGTAGGCGTAAGCACGTATTAACGTGTCAAATGTAATCGACACCCTGTCACCTGCGTGGTAGCCTCTGTATATCCGACTATTGTGACCACAAGCAAAAATATGCAGAAACTCAATGGATTTCATTTCGATGCCGCGTTAGTTCATTACGCCTCGGCTCAACCGAAACTGATGAATAAGTTAACAATAATAAAAAAAACTACATTATTAACGTATGTTAAGATTCTAAAACTCCTCAACCATCAGACGTGACCTCAACGAGAAATGTACGTATAAAAACCGGCCACGTCCTAATAATAAAACAATCAAATACAAGCGGAGATCCGGTATTATAAGGATGATTAACAATCCCATTATATCGTAAGCAAAACGCTAAGCCTAACATAAAACTAAGAGAACATTTAGATTTTCGCCGTCAAATCTAGAGATGTGACTCAGTCACTAGAATTACGATTTTAAAATGTTAGTCAATATCGTTTTCGAAGTCTCTTAATGGAGGTCGGAACACATTTCGGTTACATCTATGAAACACTTCAACAATCAAATTATGAGGGTAGTAATAATTTTCGATTCGATCGTAGGTATTTGAAGTGAACTATTCACAGCGTAAATTTATAATACTAGACGTAATAAATAAAATGAGAAGTTAATTTTATTATTCGATGGAAGTTAAGAGACGTACTTATTTTCCTCTTGCAAACAAAAAAACTGTAACAGTGTATAAATACAGCACATTCTCAAGCAGTTAAAACAACAAAGTATGCAACAAAATTAACTTACAAATAAATAATTGTCTTGAATATGATATCTATACCATAGATTCTCTTACAGATAATAATTGAAGGTGTACGTATGTCTCCTAGCAATATTATTGACAGCTAGATACAGCATGGGTTGCTTAAGCCTCATATTTTTCCCAATGTTATGTGCGTAAATAGTTGATTTGCCAATCAAGCAAGCAACTACTATCCAGTAACGAATATTCACTTTTCTTGCGGTCTGATCCAGTGGACTGACAATCAATGTGAGCTACTTCTAGGTATTTTTTGATCTCACCATAATGACGGTTAAACTGACGCACACCCAAAAACTGACCGGGTATGCGAAATCTAAGTTGAAATTCATTGCACACGGTCAGTGATTTGATGTGCGTCAATTCAACCGTCCTTGACCAGAATAAGTGTATGACAATGTCAGCCCAAAAACCCACAACAAAGAGAGTATGAGGTTAAAAAGTATATGAATCAGTTTACGCTGTGATCGTAGTCTTTAAGTTTGGTCTTACGGGGGCCTCAGAGGAACTGGCCAAGCGTGAACGCGTCCAGCACCTTGGGGACGTGCTCGTCGATGCCCACGATGTCCAGCACGCCGGAATGCGAGCCGTCTGTGGTGCCCACGCGGTGGGAAGCCAGCGAGAGGACCGCCAATCTGAAAATATACGGGTTTTACATAAATATTTATAGTAAATTGATATATTTATAATGTTGGCCACATCATCGTAAAGGAGAATCAAAGACAAGTATTTTAGAAACCAGGACTAACTTAATCCAACCAGGAAACCAGGATTAACTGGATGGGTTTGATTCATCATCATCATCATTTCAGCCATAGGACGTCCACTGCTGAACATAGGCCTCCCCCAATGCTTTCCATGTTGATCGATTGGTAGCGGCCTGCGTCCTGCGCATCCGACGACATCGTAAAGGGTTTGTTTAGGTTAGAATTTTCTAGTTCCTTGGCGGCCACACTAGATCCTGGCTATGATGAGTGGGAATAAGATTTAGTATTAAGCACATTTTCACCATTAATCCCTATTTTTTCTGACCCCTATGAAAACAAAACACCTATTATGTGTTACCATAGAGGTCACTTCAAAATTAGGGATTGATGGTGAAAACGGGCATTAGACCCATCGACTTACTTGGCATCGCCGACGCCCTTCTGGCGGTATCTCTCGAGTAATGTGTATCTAATGTGGGCTATGTTGTAAAGGAGCAATCGGGGTCGAGTATTTTAGTAATCGGGACTATTGAACCATCACTGGATGGGTTAGATTAGGTTAGAATTTTTTAGTTCGTTGGCGGCCACACTAGATCCTAGCTATACCGAGAGGAAACAAAAGTGGAATGTGTCCCGTTAGGCCGTTAGGTCAACTTACTTAGCATCGTCAACACCCTTCTGCCGGTATCTCTCGAGCAATGTGTATCTAAATTTTGGCTATGTTTTAAAGGAGCAATCAGGGGCGAGTATATTAGAAATCGGGACTATTCAACCGTCACTGGATAAGTTAGATAGAATTTTCTAGTTCGTTGGCGGCCACACTAGATCCTGGCTATGATGAGTGGGAACAAGAGGTAGTATTTAGCACGTTTTCACCATCAATCCCTAATTTATAAGTGACCCCTATGAAAAGAAAATACCTATTATGTGTTACCATTGTATTTAATTGTAATGAATTGTATCTTAGTTTTCTCTATAAGTGGATTTTGTAAATGTCTTTAGCCGTAAAACGAGCATGAGTCCCGTTAGGTCAACTTACTTGGCATCGCCGACGCCCTTCTGGCGGTATCTCTCGAGCGCGCGCACAGGGCAGCGGTCGGCGAGCCCGCCGGGCGGCGGCGGCGGCCCGAAGCGCCCGCCCGGGCCGCGGCCCCCGCGCTCGCTTAGCTCCAGCTCCATATAGCGCGTGCATCGGTCCACCATGTTGATGAACACGTCCGCCTTGTAGTTGTTCTTGATCGCCCACTCGATGGGCGCGTCTAGCTGCACGCGGCCGAGGTTCGCTTTCTGTGATTATGGATTTTGGTTAGCATATTTTTTTTTTATGTGATAGAAGGCAAACGAGCAGACGGATCACCTGATGGTAAGCAATTTCCGTCGCCCATGTACACCCGCAACATCAGTGAAGTCACAAGTGCGCTGCCAACCTTTTAAATCCCATTCCCCCCCAATTGGCAGGCTATATGTAGAAAAAAATGATTTTTTCTTCTTTCTTTATTTCGGATTGCGCCGGTGCAAGCTTGTGCACTGCCTACATAAACTTTCTTATTGACAGAGTTGAGGTAAGGATCTTTAACTTTGAAAAAAAAAAAAACAGTGAAAAATGATTTACATAGGACCTGAACCCATTTTTTCAAATGCTGGGGGATAATTGAGCTTCAAAGATGTTAGTGATTGTAATCTTACACTGTAAGTCAAGTGACTTCGCTAGTTATTGTTAGTGTTAGGCCCAGTTTCAGTTTCGTTGCAGTTGCGTTTCACCGTCTGTTCTGGGCCTTACAGTTACTTCATCATATTTAGTAAACGTTAGAATTAATTACTCTTATGTAACATAAACTATTGTATGTTATTTTACCAAATAAAGTAAATTTTAACACTTATAAGTGTTCTACATCCGCCATTTGATTTCCGGAAGGCTGCTCTGCAAAACTATTTAGGCTTATGACTTAGCTTCAAAAATATTTGTATTTTTATTTATGCTATGAATAATTTCTGCACCTGTGATATGAAGTGCCAGGCAACGGTTTTGCTGGTGGCGCTCTTGGCACACTCAGACAGGCAAATTTTGAAATAACATCATCTAAATTTACCTTATATTAAGTATTATCATCTCTCCACTTCCACACTGATCCGTAATCAGTTACTAGTAGCTGAGAAAAATTCAAGATATTTGGATGAAATGGCTAACTATTTGTGCGGTGAATGATTTTTTTAAATACTGTTAAGCCATTGGAACAAATGGGAAACTACGGCTTTGATGAGCGCGTACACGCGATAGCGAAATGACTTATGATGACGTCGCAATGCAGTGTAATTTTTTGTACTAAAGATTTGTTGAATTGAAGTACCCATGATCTTTTTTTGTGACTGAAGAACCACGTTAAAGCGCTTTTCAAAGTGTTCGGGGCATAGTACCTACAAGGCCAAGCAGGTGAACATTATAACACTTACCCTGAGGATAAACTCTGCTTCATCCACACTGCTGAAGTTGCGTTCGAGATTCACCACTTGAACTCCGTCTTCACTGAACACCGCAATCTTCACGTTCTTTTCGCGCTTCAGAAGTTGCAGCGCCAATATAATAGCTGAAAATTTTTTATTCTTCAGAAAATGCCGAAGTACATAAAATATTCTCCATCTCTTAGTGGTTAGAACCCCGACGTTGTTAAATTATTATGGTTAACCCAAAAGTAACACAATCTTAATACATTTCGCTTATCATGAGGGGTTTACGGGACTATTAGTCATTTGAGCAATATAATTTATATCAGGGGTGGCCAACCGGTCGATCGCGAATATTAGTCCAGTCCTAGTGCAGTCCAGTGTACTAAATATGCTGTTTAATTTAAAATTTCAAGAAGTTTGTAAGTGATAGATCGCCCAGGGTTTCGTTAGTAAATAGTAGATATGTCTAATTAAGTCGACTACCCCTGATTTATATTCTTAAAAAAATACATTACAAAAAGTAACACAATTATTATCAATATATTGGAGTGATACTCATAATATGTTTTTATGGAATTGGTTTTTGTTTTATTAGTTAGGTGTTTTCATAAATATTAATCAGATTTAATTGTCTGTGAAGAGTTTAATCATATAATTAATAATTAGGTTAATTGAATTCATCATTAATTTAATATCTCTGTGATTAATCTCCTTAATATTGTATTCTCTCTCCATTTCAATCATCTAATGATTTATTATTTCACAATTATAAACCGCTGTATCCTAGGCTAGACATACATAAATAATTGAAAAGGAGACTGGTAACACCAGTCCATTAGATTTGACGTCTACTTGTAGTCTATCTATTTTTCGAAGTGACTTGCTGACTGAATGATTTTCAATAAATAAAAAATCGAAAATAAGTACGTTTACTACGTCTGTTATTATTTTATGGATTTTTTAACAGCCTCCAATTCCCTATGGAATATACATGTGACTCACCAGCGTGGCCCGGCGTGACGGTCTTGTGGTGGAAGCACTCCGCATACAAATGCTTCTTGCTTTTCTTCTCAGTGTCTGTGTCGCCGCCAGCGGCGGGCGCGGTGGGCTTGGGAGTTGTCTTCTTGCCCTTCTTCGGTACTGTATAGCCCTTGCAGAAGTGACGACCTGTTTGAATAAGAAAAACTTTTGACGCATGTATTTTGAGGGTACACATTACTGGATGACCCAGAAAGAGTTGATAAATAAATCAATATGAACAAATGAATCACAGCATTATGTTTAATTGTACACTGCTATACACATACAGTACATTTTAGAAAGACAAGTGAAAGACATTCATTTTAGTTGGAGAAAGCCTTAGGTACTTTCAGAGACTGATTTTTATCAGTTCTTTGAGTTTTTATCAATGAGGGTTTTCGCGATTGAAAAATCCGCCAGATGGCAATACGTAGACGTGAGGACCAAATGCTGCATGATTGGTTATTTTTGACATGACATTGACAGATATGTCAAAATCCACCAATCACGCAGCAGTCAGACCCTACATCCACGTCCCGCCATCTGGCGGATTTTCCAATCGCGTATACCCTCATTGAATGTGTCTCAATAAACACTGCTTATACAGATTGCAGTTACACCCTTGATAGACAACCGCGAAAGCAAAAAAATATATACAAAAAGAGAAACAGGTTTGGCACAACAGGATCGTAAACTGACCTTTGAACATATGGTGTCTCATGTCAAGGGTGATGAGGTACCGCTTATTGGTGGGCGGCGTGAGCAGCCACGTCTGGTCCATCAGCTTGCTCAGAGCGGCGATCACGGCTTGGTTCGGCGGCTGGTCAATGCCTGCAAATTACGTTTTGTTACTTTCAAGCAGTTAGGTCACTTTCTGGTTGAACAAATTAAGTTTGCTGCAATTACATTACTGGATAGATATTCCTTCTAGCTAAATAATGTTAGGAGTGGGTTTACAACTATAGTTTGGCTGTCGACGAGGACTGCACTAGCGACTCTCGAATCGGCTGTTCTAAAACAAAACCGTTGTACTGTTATCTATCTTCAATCACGCTGTAAGATGTAGGGACACACATTAATTTTATTGCCCAATATGTTAAAACACAGGTTTGAAACTGGTGAAATCTGAATCACGTTTTCAGCTTTATCCAATAATAGGTTTTCTCTGTGTTTATGTGGTTCAAGAATAGTTTTAAGCTTTAATAAATAATGCCTTACCCCAGTACTTGACTTCCTTGGGATGCCTTCTGGTGACGATCCACTCCCATAGCCCAGTGTTGGAGTCAAACATCTGGCGCGCGCGGCGACGTGTCTCCTTCTCACTCGCCACTTTCACTTTCTCGAACTTCATCGGCCTATAAATGTACTTTTGTTATAAATGTGTCTGCTTTGTTGTTCTTTATGAACGGCAGATTTGTTACAATCAAGTCTTCAGGAAAATGTTGAGAGCATATTATTATAAAGAAAATTATTATCTGCTATGAGAGAAGCTGTATGTTTAACAAGCTATAAAACTATAAAATTGTTACTATATTTTTCTTCTTTTTTTACAGCCAGGCTTGGGGTAATGGTCCACACAGTAACCTTCGCACTGAATTCCGCCAGTCACATTAATTAAAATCTACACAGTTAAGAAATTGAAGCCAAAAAAATTGATTATTACATTTTTATTGTGTACTGTTTTTAAACTTACTTGTACTTCTTTTTGTAGTTGCACATAGTGATGTACACTTCTAGCGGAGTGATGTTTGACTTCTTGATAATGTCTTGGTTGTTCAGCATTGACAACAGAATAGCTGTGGTGGTCGAATCATTTGTGAGGAAGCCCATATTGTGGATGCGCTGGATGTTGTATAGGAGCTCTTTCAGCGAAAACTGAGGTAAGACGGCATTCCATACCTGTGAAAATTTGTTTGTTATGAAATAACACAATGATAAAAATTACAAGTGGATTTTTATGTTAATAATATATGCTTTTTAATTTAACAGCAGCTGATTAGGTGCCTAATCTGAAATTGGGTGTACTTTTTTTTGTTTTTTTTTTTTATCCACAATGAGGTACATTAACTCTATTCAGTTATCAGATCCAAAATATGGTTCAATGAAACTGATTATTCATATTAAAGTGGCATGCAGAGGGGGGAGTTTCATAACAGTAGAACAGAAGTTTTACACCAGTCAACTTACTTTTTAAAAGTAGAAGTTTTTTTTTATTTCCTGCCATTCTATATTCAAATAACTTACTTCTTGTGACGTAATCAGGTGGCCAGGGATATGGTCCAGAGTGAACTGATGCTGCGTAACCATCGCCGCGGCCGCGACGGGATCTTCGCAGTGACGTATGTCTTCCACTTTCTGGATGTAGTCGAACACCTCCTTGGTTCCTGGCTTGTCACCCACCAGCTGTTTGGCCCGCTTATAGCCAAAGATTGCATATTTCACCACAGCGTCACGGGCTAAAATATGCAGTTAGGTTTTAGGTTTATTAGTTCAACTTGGTTCATAAAAAAGTCATTTTTATCTGAACATTGGGTAGAAAAAAAAAACAATATACCTTGATCAGTAGGTTCAATTTTGAGATGACATTTCCGCAGTAGAGTCTTATGAGAGCGTCCATGACGTGCCTTCACTCGGCTCATTTCCTTGGCCAACTCCATTGGGTCTTTCTCACTGTACCATTTCTTGAGATGCTTGCACCAACCTCGACCATTTCCTACACATGAGTAATAATAAAATAAATCAATCAGAACATAATTAATTATTTCAAAGAAATAAGTTATCCAGTTCCATGTTGTATGAAGCCAAAATGATAAAGCTAGTATTTTTTTTTATAATAAATGTTCCAAATCTACAAACATAATTTATTTTTCGTACCAGAATCTTTTGTTGGATCCATGTAGGTATGTAGCAAAAATATAAAAAAAAAAATTAAAACTATTTAGTAATAATACAAAAAGTACAATCCCAGTTCACCTACCAGTTTTCAGCAGTCGGGTGAACTTGTTAAATAGCATCATTTGTTCTGAAGTTCGGCACACCTCAGCGGCAGCCTTGTACGTGGCTTCTTTCACAGCTTGAGACCCTAGCATCAAACATTTGCCTAAAGCAAATGCTATCGTCTCAAAACGAGTATACCAGCCATCTTTATACGCCTGAAATTAATACAAATGTAGGGTATCTATCAACAACAACAAAGAATTTTATATAGCTATCACATCAAGCATTCATTGAGATGATGACCTAGAATGGTATTCTTAGGAATTTCATAGTTTAATTTTATTACCTTGAGTATGATGCTGACAACTTCAACATTGTTCACTCCATCGGCCAGGGCTACATTGAGGGCTGTAAGCCTGTCGGCTTCAAAGTATTTCTGAGCGCTCCAGCATCCAGGGAAGTACTTCGGAGCCTCATTGCCGGTGTGAAGGAAGCGCGTGATCTTGTTCCGCACACTGGTGTTGAGCGTCGGCGTACTCATTTTCAACAAGCAAAATATATTTGCTTGTCCAAATCAACTATTTAGCGACGCCTTCAGACGGCAATTTCATCAAGATCCACTGACGATACAGCGAAGAGAACACAAACTGAAAAGAATACAGTCAAAGGTAAATGCACCGCACGAGAAAGCTATTAATTTTTTGTCGGTATTCGAGCGAAACATGTGCCACAATAAATTGAGGATGTGGCCAGAAAAAATAGACAATGGAGGCCAATAAAATACCTCCCATAATATGTGTATGACTTACTGGTAAAGTTTGGATTTGTAAAAAGCACGGGTTTAATGTACAGTTATAGTGAACAGTAAAATAATTCTGGCGTGAGAGAGAAAATAGGAGACAAAAAATTCGTAAACCTACCTCGTTTCCCAAAACTTGTTTGATTTGACAAGTAGGGATGTGCTGTGCACAGCACAGTGCTGTGATTCCACGATAAGTGTATTTCAACAACGTTTTATTATAGACTAGGTTTTGGCCACGGCTTCACCCGCGTGAAATTTAGTTTGTCACATTAATATCGGCATAAATTATAGCTTATATGTTATTCTGGATTATAAATAATAATACTGTAAAGTTTCATCATAATCCGTTCAGTAGTTTTTGCGTGAAAGAATAACAAACATCCACACAAACTTTCGCATTTTTAATATTAGTAGGATAAAATATTGTTTTATTAGTATGACAAAATTAAAAAAAAAAATTATGATTTTCGTGGGTAAGTTAAGATCCCACCAAAAACAAAAATGTAAAAAAGGAGAGCCAAGTTCAATACAAAAAATATGCTTGGTTGTGGTGTGGGCTTCGCCGCAAAAAGAATGGAGATCTAGATGAGTGTCAAGTTCTATGCAAAATTCAAATAAAATATACACCACTAAATTTTTATCACCGAAAAAATTTTAACAGGTTATGTAGAAACGTGTGAAAAATTTAAAGCAAAAGAAAAAGAAATGTTTTTCATAAAGTTAATTTTTTTATTAAATTTTCTTTAGTCCGTATTTTACACGTCACAGCTGGGTCACTCCGCTGCTCGCTAGAGTAGTCGTACGCGCTCGCACGTTGCATCGATCTGTCTGTCTCGCTCACGCCTCGAACACGCTTCCAGTGTTATTATTACATACTTAGCTAACTTAGACCATTTTGAATTCTAATAAGTGTTACATTATCGTACGTTAATAGTGCTAGCGACGCGTGAGTCAATAAACTACCAATTTTAGGAGGATATTTTGAGTCACTTTATTTTACTTTTTTTTTTGCACAAATGGGATCAGTATCAACAACTCATTACCCAGAATTTTTTTTCCGGTGATTAAAATTTAGTGGTGTATAAAGATCTTAAAGGAGGTAAGATTTGACTTGGCCAGTTTTTATCAGAATTAAAAAATAGTAATTACTGATCGATAGGTGACATTATTTTGATGAATAAATATCATTAAAAGTTTTTCTCTAAAACTGATAGTTTGGCTGGGAAAGAAATATTTTCCATCCAAATATCCGTTACCGCGCCGGGCGGTCAGTGAACTTTTTTTTAGTAATTTGGCCATCATTTCGTCAATTTTTGTCGTAGAATAAAACATTTTTGACTGTACATTAAGGCAGGGTTTCCCAATTTTTTTTTGCCAAGGAACCCTAATTGATTATACTTTTCCTAGCGGAACCCCCGTACTACTCCGCCCGCACGCCCTGCCCCTCGCTTGTGCGTAAACGAGTCGGTGCGCGCGAACAACGTCGGTCACGAAACGTGGGATAATATTTTTACGGACCCTTGCGGCCTTTCCACGGAACCCCAGGGTTCCGCGGACCACCTTTCGGGAACCGCTGCATTAAGGATTTCTTAGCTCTATAAATCTGCATTAACAATTAAAATCGTAATGATGCTCATTATGCTTGGTAAAGACCAATAATATAATAATTATTATCATCAAATACAAAATAATGTTACAATACAGGGAGCATTTTAAAGTACCTAATTAAATCATCTAATGGAAAGAAACTTTTTTCATAAACGTGATCAAATTATACAGTGTGAGTCACGATTAAGTGTACATAAGAAATCAGGTGAAACTAGACCTATTTTTATCGACAAAAAAGAGGTCAAAAAAATTCTGAGTCGTTTTTTTAATTTTTTAGAAAAATTTTTTTCTTCCTATTATTGTAAAGAAAACGTAATAACTTTTAAACTAAGATGTATATCCTGATAAAATAAAAACAGTAATAATGATAAATAACAGGCAATTCTAAAAAAATACATAAAATACTCAGAAAATGCCAACAAATAATAAAAAATTATACTTTTTGAAAAAAAAAAACTGCTTTAAAATTCGTGTTTTTTTTTTGTTATTTGATTAATTTCTCCAAAAAATGTCCCTATAATAGGTGGTTTTTATTACTTTGTATTATTCTCTATCGTATTACCTTCGTAAAACCAAAAATTTCATGTCTCTATCCCTATCACAACGTTTGCAATGATCGTTTGCACTAAGCCTCTCCGGGCGCGCCATTCAACGCTTCGTTAACAACGAAACTGAAAATGGCTCTAGATTTGTAATTTTGATAAAGACAAGTTAGATTTCAAATAAAAACAAAAGATTTCGAAGTAAAATATAAGAATTTTAGTCAAAATTAAAATTGTCCCTACCTGTAGCCAAGAATAATGTTGTGGCAAGCCTTCGTTCAAACGGTCATAGCAAATGTTGTGATAGGGATAGAGACATACGATTTTTAATTTTACAAAGATAATACGATAGAGAATAATACAAAGTAATAAAAACTACCTGTTATAGGGGTATTTTTTGGAGAAAAGACAATGCCGGAAATTGGCGTCTTTTTTTTTCGCGCGGCCATCGACCAAACCTTGTTTTATGATTACAAAATAGTGTAATAAACCAAACTTACTATGACATGTATACCTCCAAACTCAGTCTGACTGAGTTACGAGTATTAGAAGTTTGATGATTTTCATACTATTGCGCGCAAGTTTTGTAAGAAATTGCAACAAAATAGTGACATTGTATGTATAAACAAACAATACCATCCATTAAAGGCTCCAGCCATCAGTATGGAGCAGAATCAGTACAATAAAAAAATAGCGCAATATTTTGTTGCAATTTCTTACAAAACTTGCGCGCAAAAAGCAAATCTAGTATGAAAGTCATCAAACTTCTAATGCTCGTAACTCAGTTCAGACTGAGTTTAGACATACATATCATAGTAAGTTTGGTTTATTACACTATTTTGTAATCAAAAAACAAGGTTTGGTCGATGGCGGTGCGAAAAAAAAAGAAGCCGTGCGAAAATCTGGCATTGCCATTTATCAAATAACCAAAAAAACACGAATTTTAAAGCAGATTTTTTTTCAAAAAGTATCATTTTTTATTATTTGTTGGCATTTTCATAGTACTTCTTGTATTTTTTTAGTATTTTCTGTTATTTAGCATTATTACTGTTTTTATTTTATCAGGATATATCTCTTAGTTTAAAAGTTATTACGTTTTCTTTACAATAAGTAATTGGAAGAAAAAAAATTCTATAAAAAAAGAAAAAAAAAAGACAAAAATTTTTGACCTATTTTATGTCGATAAAAATACGTCTAGTTTCAGTTTTCACCTAATTTAATATGTGCACTTTATCGTGACTCACACTGTAGACAATAAATATTATGTCGATAGTCGATATTTCTTGGTTTGCGCACATTTATTTTTGAAAGATACACAGACAAATCACGATGTTGCCAGAGTTATTATAGGCGGGTTAATAGCATGAAGCTACAGATAAAAATGGAGGCCACACTCCGTATACCTACTTGAAGCACAAACTAAGTATCACTATCTCGCTCTCCGTGGGCAGACTCGCTCTTTCTAAATAAACAAAAAATATAAAATTGCTCAAATTCAATGAAACCAATGTAAAATCTTTATTTCTTGACATAGGTATCATTAAAAATGATAAGTGTAATTACTGGTAAAACGTTTTAGGATGAAATTACTGTAAATAATGTGATTTAAATGTTTACAATGATCCAATGTCGGAAATCACGAAATAAACACTTACCCGTGGAATCTTATGTCACTTCCAGGATACCACGTACTACCGCAACCACGCATTACAAAATTTTGCACCAATTCTTGTGATAAAACAATGATTATTTCCTGTAAACAAACTCAAACGAAATTAACTGCTTAATAAACAAAATAGTAAACAACCGCCATGATGGGCCGGATTGGGCCGATGTTGCCACATGGTACCGATTACCCNGGGATTGTGATTCCCTGATTCGCCAACACATTAAGCCTAAATGGCCGACAATTTTGTGATTTTTTATTTAACTAGGTAATCTTAGTTTCAAATTTTAATTATTTATTTGTTTAACTTCTGATTTGGTTAGTGAATTGGCTATTTCGAAGAATTTACAAGGAGATTTAAATCAGAAGATAGCAATACTACAGTTCACACTAAAAAGAGAGGTATAAAAGGGCCGCAGAGAGCGAGATAGATATAAGTAGGTATTTGACTCAAGTTTGTGTTCCAATTTTGCCCTCCATTTTTATCTTTAGCTTCATGGTTAATAGGCATGGCATGGCCTGGCCACAGAGCGAATATTAAATCATGGAGAGGTCTTGTTGTTTTGGGTGTTGTGGGGGCGTTTGGCTGAATAGTGACGTTTTTCATACATTTTTATAGCAGTGATAGCAATTACCGCACATCGATCGCAATTTTTCATTGAAATAAGCGCAAATGAAGGTTTTCTTTCGCGATTGAAAAATCCGCCAGATGGCGGGACGTGGATGTAGGGTCTGACTGCTGCGTGATTGGTGGATTTTGACATATCTGTCAATGTCATGTCAAAAATAACCAATCATGCAGCATTTGGACCATGAAGCTACAGATTTTGGACCTCGCGTCTACGTATTGCCATCTGGCGGATTTTTCAATCGCGAAAACCCTCATTCATTTTCGGTTTTCGGCCACTTTGAGCAATAAAAAAAAATTGTCACTGTCAACTGTCAATGTCAGTTATAATTTATTTGTTTTGTTGTATTTCTCTCGAGTTCGAGTTCACGACGTTTTTTGTTCGTAGGTTTGTTGTTTTGAAAAAGAAAGCTGTAGAAATCAAAAGGACTAAACGCAGTAGAATTTATCATTTCATTATAATTATTATAAATGATAAACTTTTGAAACCTATCTACATGAGTTTAGATTTAGAAGAAGCTAACGAGACGCAGCAACTAATGCACAATGAGGGTGACGAAGAAGAGCAGAAAGTATCTCAAGCAGCGACTTCGCCAGTCGCCAGCAATAAAATGTCCAGTGGCGCAGCCAGTCTCACCTCTAAGACGCCCGGTCAGATACTCACAAGCACTGGAAACAATAGCGTGAATGACTCTACTAAAGTATCGTATGTCAATGAAAGACGTTTACACCGAGACTTGATGCGCTCCAATTATAATAATAGGCCTAAACACATTCCAAAAGAGGCTCCAGATGTGAAGCACATGGAGAAAGCATTGCTAGAGTTGTTAGATGATTTCCATACAGGCAAATTGAGTGCTTTTGGTACAGGATGTAGCATGGAACAGATGATCAATATAAGAGACCAACAGGAACATCTAGCTAGACTTCATTTTCGGTTGTATGCTGATGTAGAGAAACCCACAGATGATAATTTTGATAGTTCAGCTTCAAGAGATAAAATGGCTCAATTGGTTCAAAGCTTAGAGCAACTTTCTACATCTATTGAACACTTGCAGTCTGATGAAAATGTTAATGTAAGCAGTAGTGATAAAGCCAGTAGCCAAAATGTTTGAACCCTAATTTTATATAACAACATCCCTTTTTGTGTAGATATTATTTTTTGTATTTATCAAATCAATGTAATATTGTAATTTTAGGAATAGGTGAATTAAAGTCATTAAACAATCATAAAAGGCAGTTTTTATTTATAAATCTAATTTGAGTTTTGACCACAGTTGATGTGTTACCTAAACTTACCCTACATTAAAGTTATGGCATCATGAATCAATTATAATAATAATTATTTATTAATAAACATTCTCAATACAAATCAATAATAGAGTTCAATACAATGAAAGAGAAAAACCTTTCAAAGGTATTCTCATAAAAATCAAATTGGTTTACATAAAATACCATACATTTTAGGTTTGATTAAAAATTTAAACCTTTATTAGATTATAACTAAGTACAAACCACATTAACATAATATTGTCTTTGGTTGGATTGTTTAACAAACTATTAATATGTAAGAATTGGAATACATATATTGACCTTTATTTTGGTATAATCAACATTCACTGGGACTTATACCTACCTAATATTGGAATTTTAGCAACACTTTTAGTTTCCATACCAGTGTGATTAAGAGTTATTTTTAATTATATTAAATTGGAATGTATAAGACTAACAGTTTAAAATTACGAATAATAGATTTCAATTGACCAAATTAAAAAATTGTATTACAACATGTAATAAAAAGTCATTAGTGACTAAAGAGTCACCCCCAGCACAGGCACAGATCATAAGGTGCTGAGGATGACCTTAGGAGACTTATGATTGAGAAGTTGACATGTGCAAAGCCAACTCACTCAGGAACTGTGCCACTTGGTGTACCTATCAGATACAAAATTCACACACATAACACACCAAGTAAAATTAATTGTTAATGATCTTATAAAAATATAAGTCTCACTCATGTGCTGTAAATTTTAAAATCCCACAAAAGAAATATATTATAATTAATTTACTGCAACCAAAATAGAATACTGAAAATTGAAGTAGCGTTGTTATTTTGTAACCGATAAAAATAATTTGAAATTGCTTATAATTTTGTGAATAGAGGCAAAACATCTAATCACTGAATTGTTATCTCACTAAATTATTTAAATATTGATACATTTCTTTAATGACAATAATCTAAATCACAGATTGATACGTCAATACAAACAGAGCATTATTCAATATTTTACAAAAATATTTGATGGAAGCCACCCTTTTTAATAACTTTCCTGCAAGTAGGACATTTGCTACCATTTGAACGTATAGATAACTTAAGACAATTCATGCAAAATACATGACCACATATAGTTGAAGCTATTGGTTTGCTTGATAATGAGTCCATACAAATGGGGCAGTCACCAATTCGTTTACTAGGTTTATCAGGGGTATCATTATTTGATAATCCTGGACTTGGTAAATCATTATGTGTCTGTGTAATATTACTCTGACCATTTCTTGAGTTATCATTATTTGTCATAGATTCTAACCATGTCATAAAATGCTGAGACATATTTAGCATATTATTACCTTTTCTCCCCCTACGTGGCCGTCTGCCACCACGATTATTATCACCATAATCACGCCTCCTTTCAAAGAATTGACCAATTATTTGCAACTGTTCTTGAGACATAGGATTGTCATAGTCAGTGCTGGTTGGTGGATTATGACAATAATCACATCTGTCCCCTGGTGACCTGAGTACAGTTGTAAGTTGGTGTTGACATCTATTTTGTGATGCCAGAGGTCTTCTATTGTTATCAATAGTATTTATATGATTTGGTGCAGTGGTCCCTGATGGACAACCCACATTGTCATGGTTGATAGTGATGATAGTCTCATTTCGTCCTGGATTTCGATGAACTTCATCATTGGCTTGGTTTGGATAAGTACCAATAAACTCTAGTTCGTTATCAAACTCTTTATTTCTATTTCGAACAACTGTTGGTCTCTGTGTTACAGCAGTATTTGGAACAATTACTGATGGCAATTCAGAGTTATTTCTATTAGAGTTTGCATCATTATTATTTTGAGTAGTACTATCATTTCTATTTCTTTGTACACTACAATTTTTTTCATCACGTTGGTTATTCTGTGCCGCTGGACTCTGTATATTGGTTACATCAACCAAAGTCACAGTATCATAACTGTTGGTGTTACTGTATTTTTTAAGTATTGCATTATTTTGAGCTATAATGTCATCTACATCAATCACTTCATTGTCATTATCATCGGATATATCAATCTCAATATCAAGATTACCGTAGTAATCATCGACTAGTAGTACACTATCATCATCAGTGTTGGCAGTTGAATTATGAGTAAAATTTGTATCTACCACTTCCACATTATCATCATCAGTGTTGGGAGCTGTATTAGGAGCAGGATTTACATCTACTATTTGCACACTATCATCATCAGTGATGGGAGTTGTATTTGGAGAAGGATTTGCAGGTACTATTTGCACACTATCATCATCAGTGTTAGGGGCTGTATCAAGAGCCACGTTTACATCTGCTTTTTGTGTACTATCATCATCTGTGGTAGAAGCTGTAATATCATCAGTGTTAGAAGCATTATTATGAGCAACATTATCATCTGTTACTTGCACCTGATCGTCAGCTGAGTTAGTTGTGTTACTAGAACCTGACTTGTCATCTAAAATTTGTGTGGAGCCATCATCTTTAATTTCAATGATACTTCCATTCAAGTTAGAAGCTCGATTTGAAGTTGTTTCAATTATTTCAATTATCTCACAGGGTGCTTCTAAAATTTTTACTTCATCTACAGATTCTGTATTATTTTCAGAGATTAAGCTCTCATTAAAACGTTGATCGTTTTTCACAATCGTCTCATTGTCTGTGGACGTGCTTGGTAGTGGGGAAAATGACCGTGGCCTACCATTATTAATAGGAGTATAATATTCATAAGCAACAGTCTTATTACTATCTGAACTGCTATCACCATCCTTTTCACACTCTTTTAGACGTGCAGCAATTTCATCACTTTTAGCATTGAAAATTGATTTTGATAAATTTATCTTCTTGCCTCTTTTCGCCCGCTTTGTTGGAATATCCTCTTCACTCTCACTTGAATCTGGTCCGTATTTATCATCACCTTTGCAGAACTTTATTGTAGGTTTTTCTGGTACTCTTGGCCGGTCTTTGCAACCCACAATATAGGGTTCATCAGGCTTCTTTCGTTTCTTAGGTTTAATTACTCGTGGTGGAGGTGCATCTTCAAGCAATTCAGTGGGGTCCGAAATGTTTGATACTAAATGTAACATTCTATTTGCAATTTCAGTAATAGTGGTTGGGGACATGAGTTTCTCTTTGAGTTTTGGATTCTTTTTAGGAGTTGATGGTTTGACAATATCATTCGATGGAGTATCTTTGGTTGGTTCATCATCACCATCAGAGTCTTCAAACATTTTTTCTAGCTCGGATAAGGAAGGCATAGGCATCCCGTTGCCACAAAGTCTGGGTTCGTCATCTTTATTGGCGCTGCGAGTTTTTGGCCGGCCGTAGCTACTGGATCTAGTCGTTCGCAGTTTCTGTGCAAGTTGTTTCGATTTTGCGATGCCATCGTCAGGAACCCTCTTCGCAAATTTAAACTTTTTCGGAGGATTCACATTTGTGTTGTTGTTATTTGTAACTTTACGTTTAGATTTTTTGTTTTCGGGTTTTATTTTCTTCTTTGGTTCGGACATGATAACACAAGTATCAATAGAACACCACGAGAATGTTTGTGAGATTGTGTTAGCTGTTTATTTGATTCATATTTCATACACATGAATGTTTTTATGGTTAGAGGCAGGGATAAAAAATTCAGTTTTCCGCAAAAGAATCGCAAACTGAAATACACAGAGGCACTGAAAAATACGAAATCAAACCATACTCTCTAATCTGTGATCAAACCACAGACGGCACGGCGGCACGGGAAGCTGTCAATGTCAAACTTTTTTTTTAAATAATGGATACCTGCGTACAAAATAGCATTAAGTTTTATATGTCCCCCAGTAACTTCAGTCTTCACCGGAGAATCCGTTGCAATATTGGAGGCTATTCTGTACTCATTCTCCCATCGTTTTAACAGCTCTTTGATTTTCACCGATTCTCTAAGCTGTCTTCAATCTATTTTAGCTAACCCCTTTAAATCAAAAACCAAATTCCCTATCATCTTTAAAATCAGAGAAGCCCTTTTTAAATGTAAACAAGAGGGTTTAAATATCGTCTTGGCGTGGATCCCTAGCCATCGAGGTATCCCAGGCAACGAAACGGTTGATTCTTGCGCTAAACTTGCTACAACAACTGGCTCGCTTGAACACTATAAGTTATTTGCCCATGATGCCTCCTCTCTCCCACGTAACCACTTGCACAAGTCGTGGAACACCCATTGGGAAAACTCCAAAAGAATGGTTGGCAAATATTACGCGGATATACAAAAGGAAATTCCTTCAAGACCCTGGTTTTTTAAACATCAGAAATTACCAAAAAGAACCGTCTCCATCATATTATGTCGCCTGCGTCTTGGTCATGCGTGCACCCCTGTCCACCTTGCGAAAATGCGCATTAAAGATAGCTCCATCTGCGAGTGTGGCCTGGATGAAGGAACAACCAACCACATCTTTTTTAACTGTCCCAAAATTGGATCCTCACTGTTCGATTTTCTCCCTAAAACTATCCTCCGTCCCTCTAACATCAAATGCGTACTTAACACCAATAACTCCCCTATTTTAAATTCCCTTGTTAAATTCATCAATGTTAACAAAATTAATTTGTAGGTACTTTTAACTTGTCTTATCCAAATCTCTTAGCCTCTCCCAACAGTCCCAACCCTTTCCCTTATCCCAATCCATGCTGTACAAAATTTTTGTGTTTTGTTTGTTTTGTGATGTCTTTTTGTGATTGTGTGTGATGTCTTTTTTGTTTTTGGTACGATAAGTCCGCTTAGTTTTGCAGTATTGAATTATTATCTATTTATTTTTTTATTCATAACATTGTGTAAAAGCTGCGCACGTGACATTGGCGGAACAGTGTGCCCCCAGTGGCGAAAAAACACAAGTCCATCGCCATCAACAAATGAAGAAGAAGAAGAAGTTTTACGACTCTGGCCTCTGGGGGGCCCACAGATATGGATTAGAGTAGATACAGCAAGTTGCTAGTCAAAGCGTGCCATTCCGATATGTCCAAATGGACATACATGGTCGAGTGATGTTCATGTAATCCGATTACAACAATCGGATACGATGATTTTACGAGGACAGTAGTACGAACACGGTAGAGAGAAGAAATTATTTACGGATTGAGAATTGTAATTAACAGCAACGAGTAACAAATATGTAATTAAGGGCTGATTTTTCAACCGTCGGATAACTTTTATCTGAAGAATAAGTTTGGCACATTGACAGTTTTTGTATGGGAAATATGTCAAAATGACAAGGTTATTCTTCAGTTAAAAGTTATCCGACGATTGAAAAATCGGCCCTAATTAGAATAAAGTAGCAGTAGAAGAATTATAAAACAAGTTAGATCAGTGATCGCGGAAGACAGAGTGCACTGTATAACGTCGAAATATACAAATCAAGAAATTAGGTCAGTGATCGCAGTATACACTGTTACTAGTCTNACAATATCGGCGGGATGCAGCGAAGCCAGCGACGCCTTTTTCTTGGCCATGTGCGCTCTCCCCGCTGCCGTTACTTGCATGCCCCGGCCGCCGCTGGGTGGCGGCTCTGATATTACAAAAATTGTATTAAAACTTACAAACTAATTAAGATTGTCCGTATGTAAGTGCTATTGTGCGGTAGGTCGCCCATGTCCTGGACTGACCAGGTCAAAACCGCACTCAATGGTCCACTCCACGAGTGCACAAGAAAGGCTGCAGTGCGGGAGGAATGGCAACAGATTGTGAGGCTTGCCACCGGACCGGGTACGACCCAAAAATGTATGTGCCACAAATATAAAATAATTAATGCTTTTTATAAAAAGTGTAACTCACCTTCTACTAATTGCATAGATTGCATGAAATAAAACACAAATCAATTAAATAACTAAAAGAAGTTTAAACATTTTAGTAGACGACATTATGAACTTTTGCTAGTAAGTAGTTATTAAATTATTTTAAACCTACTAACCATCCTCCTTTTTGAACATGACCTTCAAAATGTTCCTCTTCATCATGTTATCTACGAATTCAGACGCGGTCTGCACCCATTCCTTGTATTTGTTGTCTTCGTACTCCTTGATGAGTTTGGAGAAAGCCTTGTATTGGATGAACGCTTCTTTCTTCTGTTCACATTCGTTCAGTTCTGGGACCTGGATATAAAACACAAGTTATAACTGAATGACCGAAGAAAAACTGGAATTATAAGGTATAAAGTTGTACACTAAGGTCTTATAAGACTCGTTACGATTAATGCTCATCCTCCTCACTCTTCGGCCCGGTTTCCACCAAAATCGGATCGGAGCGTTCAATTTTTCTATAGAACTAGCGGCCGCCCGCGACTTCGTACGCGTGAATCCCGTTTTTCCCGCTAATTCCCGTTCACGTGGGAATTTCCGGAATTCCTTTCTTAGTGCACTTCTACGGTGCCTAAGCTACGTCCCTTCCAAATTTCAAGTGCCTACGTTTAGCCGTTTAGGCTGTGCGTTGATCTGTCAGTCAGTCAGTCAGTTTCTCCTTTTATATATTTAGATTTGACAGCGCGCGGCGGCGTGGCGCAGAACGGAGCCGTGCGTGAAATCTGATTGGTTATCAAAAATACTTCTCCGCTTCGCTCCGCCCTGCTCCGCCTTGATGGAAATCAGGTCTTATGTGGGCATAATATGATCCAGTTCGGTACGCCATAAGAAAAATTTCTTGGCTTCACAAACTGCCACGTGACTAGATACTAAAATTCTCAGGACTTACCTTCTGGAACCTCATGATAGGTTGTTTCATCTTGTTGAACAAAGCTCGAGCCCAATAGATGGCGCCAGCGACCGGTGGGTGGTTCCGAAGTAGAGGTGGGTTTTTACGAAATCGCTGCAAAAACACACGATGTCAGAATAAAGACGGATTGTGAAATACTCCTTTATTGAAAGTTGATTTTTGATCAAAGATCAAAATAGTGGGATGGTCTTGTTATTGATAAGAAGTTGGTCCTTACTGTAAACTTGTCTTCGATAGCAGTGATCTCCTTGATAAACTGGCGCATGACGAGGTCAAACTTGGTTGACAGCTGCCGACGTATGGACTCGCGAGTGTCAAACTCCAGAAACTTGAGCAACACTGTCAAAGCTTCTTCTGACGACCTGAACAGAGTATTGTTTGGTATGGTTATGTATATTTAAAAAGACAACAATAAATAACAGGGAGTTATATTGCCAGATGACATTAAGAAGAAGGAATAAATATGCAAACATCAGGGTCAGGCCTCCCCAACCCATCTGGCCAGTGAGGAAGTGTAAGCTAAATTCTCTCTTTGCTTTTGCTAAATTTGATTTAGGCTAATTTAGGCACCACCCAACTTTGACTGTAACTATAACGATAACCGGTGGTTTTTGTATGGAGTTTGACAGATATTTGACGTTTGTTAAAGTTAAAGTAAGATGGTGCAACCCAGCCATAGTCATCTGATACATTTAGATGTCTTATGCAAATAAACTATTATCATTATCATCCTTTTGCATTGGATACTAAATAACCTAATGATGAAGGCTTACCTTAAGTTGCCGAAGCTTTGGTTAATATAATTCTTCGCTTCCTCCTCCAAATAGCGCACTTCGCTCCAAAAGTCTCCCATAATGACGTCCCAGTTTTCTTTATTGTCGAACACAAAGACGCTGAAGTCTATGGTGCGTATGGGATACACGAGGTTCTTGACGCGTTTGCGCACGTCATCGATCTGCGTTGGATCGCTGATGATCGATTTAAGTTCGAGACCGAAAATGCGCTCGAAGTCTATTAGGACCTGGGAAATGCCAATTTTTGATTAGGTGATGGGTTAAAGAAATAAATCAAGAGAAAAAAAGAGAGAGAGAGAGAGAGAGTCAGAGAGAAAAAGAGAGAGAGAAAGAAAGAGAGAGAAAGAGATAGAGAGAAAAAGAGAGAGTTTGTAAAGGGTGATAAAAACGCGAAACCACACTTCTAACTAAAGTTTTAGTGCACACTACGAATACCAGTGACTAACAGAATTCTCTGCGGAGGAACACGAGAGGGGGAAGCGAGCGATAGAAAGAAATAAAGAGAGAGAGGTAAATAATAAACCATTAACAAACCTGAACGACATCGCCCAAATCCCTAGCAACAGTCCCTATGTAGTCGGTACGCGTTGGTCGAATTCCCAGCGGGCGCCTTTTTCACTGAGTTCGATGTTCCGCCGGGTCTCTTTGTAAAGTATAGTGTCACATTTGCAACGTGTTTGAGAGAGAAGAGACTAATAATAGGTTAACAAACCTGAACGACATCTCCCAGGTCACTAGCAACAGTCCCTATGTAATCGGTACGCGTGAAGAGTAGTGGTTGGTCGAATTCCCAGCGTGCGCCTTTTCCACTGAGTTCGATGTTCCGGCGGGTCTCTTTGTACAATGTAGTGCCACATTTCCAACGTGTGTGAGAGAGAAAAGAGGTAAATAATACTTTATTTTCAAACCTGAACGACATCTCCCAGGTCTCTAGCAACAGTCCCGATGTAATCGGTACGCGTGAAGAGTAGTGGTTGGTCGAATTCCCAGCGTGCGCCTTTTCCACTGAGTTCGATGTTCCGCCGGGTCTCTTTATACAGTATGTGCCACATCTCCATTATTTTCTGACCCGCTCGTGCTAATGTTAGCACTTCTTCGTTTGGCTTGCTGAAATAAACAATCGAGTTGCTTATGAATATTTAATAGCTATTGCAATCATGTTTATAGTAAGTTGCACTTTACACTTTGATCTTAGCCAAAAGTCCAAGAAGCGGTTTTGTAGTAAGTTATTAGGTAGTTAAAATTAAATTAACGGTGATAATCGTTGTCATTCAACGCGCAAAGACGGTTTCCCTATTGCAGCTGCAGTTGGCGCCACTAGCGAGTCATATAGAACCTTACTCGTTACTTATGTTACTAGAGTGGTGCCAGTCTCATGATTGCAAATGCAGTAGCCCTCTTATCGATTAATTAGCAGACTTAACCACTGTCTTAGCCATAAGCAAGTGACAGTACCTTACTCGCCAGTGGCGCAGTTATTTTTTTTTTCTCTTTATTTGGGACAACAAACAATTACATTGAGGGCTTATGTAATAAATCTTAATAATTTGAAAATTTTGTAACAGTTATTAGGGAAACCCTTATAAAGTAACACACACACACACATATTGTTATTACAAAATCATACTCACTCAAACAACTTATGCACATTCAGGAACCGCTCAAGCTTGTCACAAAGAGCCCACGAGATCCTCGATAGAAGCGGCACCATCGTCTCATCGGTGCGGTAGCCCTTAGATAAGACCCACATCATGTATATGCTTTCCACCAGTTCTGGCAGCATTTCTATCACTTGCTGTAGAGGCGAGTCATCTTCGATTACCTGTATTGGAAAGTGAACTTTATGATATCTGTATTAAAGATGAAAATCAAAAACTAGCGATGCCTAAGAGTCATCGGTGCGGTAGCTTTTAGACAATACCTACATCATTTAGATGCGTGTTTAAAACATACGGACGTTGCTCGGCGTGCATCATGTAGAGGTCCCTCGCCATTACACCCTAGTATTATCACCCTAGACTGTGCGATTGAANAACCATTTTTCTTTCACGACTATAAAAATATTTTAGCAATTTAATTCATAAAACCAATTGCGCACATTTAAAATAAACTTTGTTTACACTTTGATAGCAATAGACTGACATGCAAGGTGACATGTCAATGAAGTTTTCAGTTACTGTTGCCATTAAAAGAAATTAGTACCATTAGTTTTCCGCAACATGGCGAGGGTTTTTATGTTCCTGGTCAGGCTATAATACAAAACCGTGCCGATTTTCGTCGCCAATTGAACACGGAAAGGGAAATACGCGGTTCGAAACAGATTCTTATGCCGAGAGGTGGCGAGTTCCAAATAATTATAATTCTATGTATAATAAGTATGTAGGTATTTACAAAAAAAAGTATTTAAGTACTAGTACCTACCTATTACAAGCTTTGCTTAATTTGGGACTAGAGGCCAAATAAAATATTTTCTTTCTTTCTCTCAATGTAAAATGTCGAAGGATATTAATTTATTTTATTTTAATTGAATTTAATTAATCACTAGCGGCCGCCCGCGACTTCGTACGCGTGAATCCCGTTTTTCCCGCTAATTCCCGTTCCCGTGAGAATTTCGGGAATTCCTTTCTTAGTGCACCTCTACGGTACCTAAGCTACGTCCCTTCCAAAATTCAAGTGCCTACGTTTAGCCGTTTAGGCTGTGCGTTGATCTGTCAGTCAGTCAGTCAGTTTCTCCTTTTATATATTTAGATTAAATTGACCTTTATATTATTGAATCCACGAAACGTCAAGTGGGAAAACCAAAAACTTCTCGTATTGATAGTAGCGAAAACATTCAACAAAATTGCCCACAAAATATTTTACTTATTTATTATAAGTTGTCTATTTACTAATATTAAGTACTTAGTAACACCCAGACCCGTCACATAAATTAAAATTCATAATTTCAATTTCTTCCCGACCGGGAATCGAACCCGGGACCTCTCGGCATAGTAGTCCGTTTCCGAACCACTACACCAAACGGCCGACAAATGAATGTTGATTGTGTAAAACAAAACAAAACACCCGCTGGATGGGGCTTTAGCTATGACCTAAGGCTAGTAGGACGGTAGTGTTGGACATCCTCACTCGACTCTCTTTCGAATGAGCGTTTCTGTGAGGGTTTAAGTAGAGACACTGGTCCTAACGCAACATTTTTAATGAGTTACTTACTTTATGTACTCACGGCTTGACGTTTTGGCTGCTGTGCTGCAGCCGTGGTCACAAGCAGACTGAATGGCGGCTCGTGGCGTCGTCTTTCTATTTAAGTCGAAATGGAAACGCGAAAGTTTAAAATCATAAAGTTCAAATTAAGTAGTTCCAAAAATCTGCTTGCCACACCTGGGAATCGAATCAACTAAAATCTGTTAAATATTACACCCTGTATGTATTTGAAATATCTCTGACAAACTTGGTAAATCAAATTAAAGGAAAACCATGAAAACTTAAATTATTTTAATTATTTACAGAAAATTTAATTGTGATTTCCGATAGTAAAAATATATACGTCACCGTAAAATTGTGATTTCCGTCAGATTATAATCTGACGTAGTTAAATTACAATCTAACCTATCCTAACCCACTGTTAGTTTACAATCTAACGCGTTATATTATAAACTGGCAGAGTTCACAATTTCACGTTGACATATATAAATAAAAATAAAAATAGGGGCGGAGCATTAAAAAAATGTTGCAAAAATGGGAAATCTTAAACTATTTTCACGCGTACCTACGTACAAGTCGCGGGCACAGCTAGTGAGTAAATAAAGTAAAAATGTACCGAATATTATCTGTTTTACAACAATTTACAGCAAACGAACGTGTGGTAGGTATGTTAAATGCGAAAGTAACTCTGTCTCACATTGACCTTTTTATACTTATGTACCGATTTAGATGAAAAGTAAAGAGTTAAGAGATCATTTTGACACCCAGGAAAAAATATTATCCCGATGGAGGAAGGAGGCTAAACAGAGGGAAAAATATCGTAGGTTTATCAATATAGGGGGATACACTCATGGTACACTATAGATACAACATAGTACCTACCTACTTACTTATGCCGCAATAGAATCGGGCAATATTTCAACATACCTAGACTTATAAATTTAAATAATACCTACTGTGATAATACTGACACTAAGTAAAGCTATTTACCTACTCTTTTAATGTAAGTAAGTATAGCATTTTGGACCTACGACACTCATAATTATGCAAAATATAAAAAAGGAAGTGTCATGTTTTGAATCGCTAAAATTATTTTTTTCAGCTGATTTAAGTGGTCACTATTTCATGTAATCTAATTGAATGTCACATCATGTGTTGCTGAAAGTTTGATGACGACGTAAGTCGATACCCGGCACGAAGTGGCTTATGTAAGCGAGGACACGGTGCTGTGGCGAGCGAGAGACCGCGGGCGCGTAGCGGCTACGGTTAGTCGCGATCTGCCTCGCTCTCTGTGTGAGCGTTCCCCGCGTTACGGCACGCGTATCCGAACGCATCCCGCCCGCGAAAAATAGAAAATAAACCAGCTGGTAACTTTTTTTTACTTTCAAAATTCGAATAAAAATATTTTTCTTTCATCTAGCCAGTAACAAATTGTTTGTTTTTTTTTTTGAACTTTGGAAAAGTTTTGAATATTGCATGAAGCGCGAAAGCTACAATCGTGGGAAATGTTGAATGGCCAATACGGCGAAAAGTTATCATACGGTGATACGGGCATTTAGCATACGGGTCGCACAGACGGTAAGAGGTTCGTTAAATTTTATTTGAATTCGTTGTTGACACAGAGACAATAAGAACGGTCGATTTTATTTGGCTGTATAATAAATTGCAGATTAATTCCGAACAAAAGATTGGCTCCACTGGGAGGAGAGGGATTTCGTTTAATCTTAGTGGAAGACGACATGAATACATTTCGTAAAATTGAAATACGTTTTTCCAATTCTTTACTTTTTGGTAGATAAGTCTTTCATATAGAAAAAAAAAGAAATCGGTCTGTGAATTTAGCTTACGATCAGTTTGTTTATTAAAATGTAATTAAAAACAAATAGATACATAAGTACTTATGTTAATTAAGTGAACACTGACACTAGATATTTTAATTAACCGCCTCTGTGGTCTAGTGGTAAGACCACCTGCTTCAGACGCAGAGGTCCCGGGTTCGATTCCCAGTGGGGGCAGATTTTTCTGTTCGGTTTGGTTGGTGGTAGGGCTTGTTCTAAGTCCGCCTGGCTAGCTACCACCATCTTACCTAAGTCTATCGCCATAACAACAATGTTAACAGCATTGTTGTGTTCCGGCAGTTAGAGGCAAGATAGCCAGTTCCTCCGTGATTGAGGATTCCGGGTGAAGCTCGCTTCCACCTTCGACCTGATCGTCATTTACCATCAGGTGAGATACAGGCCAAGAACTTCCTCGTTGTGGATAAAAAGAAGCGAGCTTCAAACTTATTATGAAAAAAGCAAATATTTAAGAATATTCTTCAGACTACTTCAGAAGAAGGGACAATGCATTTATAAGCTTTGAAAGGGTACTTATAAAAAGTTTGCCTTACTACCAAAAATATACAATATAATCTTAATGCAACATATAAAAACATGTTACAAAAATATTTTTCAATGAAAGCTAAAATAAATAGGTCCGATAAATACATAAAAGAAAAAATCTAGCATAAAGAAACATTAAAGCACGTTAGTACTACGAATTTTTACCAATGCTACGAAGTGCATCTCGTAGAAATCGTACTCGTAGTATATCGCTACTGNTCAATTTACAAACCTGAACGACATCGCTTAGGTCTCTCCCAATGTAGTAATGTCAGTAGCGACTGGTCGAATTCTCAGCGGGCGCCCTTACAACGCGAGTTTGGCTTTTCAGCGGGTCTGGTGGTACAGTATAGTACCACATTTCCAACGTGTGTGAGAGAGTAAAGAGATTAATAATAGGTTAACAAACCTGAACGACATCTCCCAGTTCTCTAGCAACAGTCCCTATGTAATCGGTACGCGTGAACAGTAGCGGTTGGTCGAATTCCCAGCGTGCGCCTTTTCCACTGAGTTCAATGTTCCGCCGGGTCTCTTTGTACAGTGTAGTGTCACATTTTCAACGTGTGTGAGAGAGAAAAGAGGTAAGTAATACTTTATTTTCAAACCTGAACTACATCGCCCAAGTCTCTAGCAACAGTCCCTATGTAATCCGTACGCGTGAACAGTAGCGGTTGGTCGAATTCCCAGCGTGCGCCTTTTCCACTGAGTTCGATGTTCCGGCGGGTCTCTTTGTACAGTATACGCTATATTTCCAATGTGTATGAGAGAGAAAGAGGTAAATAATACTTCATTTCCAAACCTGAACGACATCTCCCAAGTCTCTAGCAACAGTCCCTATGTAGTCGGTACGAGTGAACAGTAGCGGCTGGTCGAATTCCCAGCGGGCACCTTTTCCACTGAGTTCGATGTTCCGGCGGGTCTCCTTGTAAAGTATATGCCACATCTCCATTATTTTCTGACCGGCTCGAGCTAGGGTTAGCACTTCTTCGTTTGGCTTGCTGAAATAAACAATCGAGTTGCTTAAGAATATTTAATAGCTATTGCAATCATGTTTATAGTAAGTTTCACTTTACACTTTGATCTTAGCCAAAAGGCCGAGAAGCGATGTTATAGTAAGTTAGTAGTAAAATTAAGTTGACAATCGTTGTCGTTCAACGTAATGAGGGTTTCCTTATTGACCTCACCTGCAGTTTGCGCCACTGGCGAGTGATAGGACCTTACTCGACAGTAGTGCCAATCTCATGATTGTAAATGCAGTAGTCCTCCTATCGTTTAATCAGCAGACTTAACCACTGTCTTAGACATAAGCAAGTAACAGTACCTTACTTGCTATTAGGAAAACCCTTATAAAGTAACACACACACACATATTGTTATTACAAAATCATACTCACTCAAACAACTTATGCACATTCAGGAACCGCTCAAGCTTGTCACAAAGAGCCCACGAGATCCTCGATAGAAGCGGCACCATCGTCTCATCGGTGCGGTAGCCCTTAGATAAGACCCACATCATGTAGATGCTTTCCACCAGTTCTGGCAGCATGTCTATCACTTGCTGGAGAGGCGAGTCATCTTCGATTACCTGTATTGGAAAGTGAACTTTATGATATCTGTATTAAAGATGAAAATCAAAAACTAGCGATGCCTAAGAGTCATCGGTGCGGTAGCTTTTAGACAATACCTACATCATTTAGATGCGTGTTTAAAACATACGGACGTTGCTCGGCGTGCATCATGTAGAGGTCCCTCGCCATTACACCCTAGTATTATCACCCTAGACTGTGCGATTGACCGTTTGACGGATAAAGCCATGTACCTATTCACTAGACAACATTTGTTGATAAACACTGTTTATAAACTGTTCATAAACAATGTTTCATCATCTCTGTAAACAGTTTATAAACAATCCATAAACATAGGTGATGAAACATTGTTTATGATACATGTTGCCGTGCTCCCCGCTATGAGTGGACGGCCAAGTTTCAGAAACCTGTGTTTATGGTAAACGTGTTTCACACTAGTCATAAACAATTTATCAACAAATGTTGCCTAATGAATACATGGCTTAAAAATCATGGAAATATCTAAAAATGACTTCAATAAATGTACATGGCAACGATTACTTACAGTAAAAAATCTCATCAAGGTCGAGAGGAACTTCAGGTTGTCCCCAGCCAAATTGTATTGCTCTACAAGCACCTCTTTATAACTCCTAAACTCCTGCAACATGACAAATAAACACATTTACAAATAAAAATAATTAGCATACACAAGTTCAGGCATTGTAAATTAGGTTCGTATAGTTCGCCCCAACTCACAGCGCAAAAAAGCCACCTAGTGGTTTTCTCGCACAATAACTTTTGCTATCAAACATTATTGTGTACACATATTTCACTCATTCATTCGCCAACGTCCATACCACGTTGAAAACACCGGTTCTCGTCCGATCACCGAAGTTAAGCAACGTCGGGCGCGGTCAGTACTTGGATGGGTGACCGCCTGGGAACACCGCGTGATGTTGGCTTTTTGCTATCTTTTTTTCATTCCACACTAAATAATTGAGGAATACGATTTGAGTTCGAAATAAAACATACAATACGAAAAGTAGATTAGACAGAAAGTTATTTGCCAAAAATTTCCCCTGTTCATTTCTACGTGATGGAGATTGTGTGTTATTTAATATTATGGTGTCAATAAGTCGACAACAAGAAAATTGGCAATCGCAGTTATTTTACCATAATAATCTCCAAGTATAAAGCAAATGCAAATAATTGACATTATTGTAAAATTAATTTATTATTTAAACACCTAAGACGCTAGCGCCATCTACACAACATCAACTAAATCATTACCTATGTCATGTTTTGGGTGTATAAGGTTGAAGAAATTCACGGTGATATAATTTATTGAATTTTTACGATAATAGGTAATTTAGATGAAAATGCTATAATGTAAAAGTATTAAGCGACAAAAAAATAAGGAAGAGCATTTTACTCATTATGCAACACTTATGTTTATGTTACGGTTAATGTGATAAATTGAAAATTATTAATAATAACCGGTTATTATGAATAATTACCGACAGTCGCGGTAAAAGTGATAAATTAATCACATTTAACAGTGATTATTTTAATAATTCAACCTTAGTACTAACAAATTTCTTATAGGAGAACAACATCTTGTGTACGTGCTCGTGTACAGCCAAACTTTTGAACGTTTTGATATCATATATTAATATAATTTGGCATAATGAGTTTGGAATGTTTCTTGCATAATATTACTTTTCCATGATGCCTATAACATAATGTTTTGATTTAAAGTGAAAAATAGGTTAAGGTGCGGCGGGGGTGGCCCTTGGGCCACCCCTAAGCCGCCTATTTAGTTTTATACACACATAAATGACCTCATATTAATCACATTAACCAAATCATGCGGTAATTATTCATAATAACCGGCGATTATTCATAATTTTCACATTTATCACTTTGACCGTAACATTTATACAAACGTGATAGGCCACCTACCGACTTACTGACAAACTAACTTATTTGCTGCGTATTGTGTACGCATATTTCGCTAATCCATTCGCCAACGTCCATACCACGTTGAAAACACCGGTTCTCGTCCGATCACCGAAGTTAAGCAACGTCGGGCGCGGTCAGTACTTGGATGGGTGACCGCCTGGGAACACCGCGTGATGTTGGCTTTTTGCTATTTTGTACAATAATAATGACTTACATCCAAAGCGGGCGAGCCGGTTTTTTGCAGCATTGATAGTATTTTGACGACCATGGGTTGCTTTAGCTGTTCCACCAGTAGCGATATTTCGGCGTCTCTTTCACGCCAGTACTTGTATTCGGCAACAGGACCTTCGCCTTCTCGCGTCTAGAATAAAATAAGAAATATTTTTACAAAAGTTATAAAATATTTGTATTATGTTAAAGCAGAAAGCATTAGGGTGCTGACAATGCAGGGCGGTTGTCGTATAAATAAATCCATGGGTCAGTGGTCGACATGAAGTCGAAACGAACGTACCTTTCCCATCTGTTGCGTGAGGATGCCATCGATGTGCGTCTGCCACATAGCGACCGCCTCCTCAAGCTGAGCCGTGACCTCTGGGTCAGCGAAACCCACGTGGCCAGGTTGTTCCTCCATAAACGAATCCATATTCGGCATGGGCAGCTGGATTTCACCTTCTATGTGTTCTATTGTCCTGTAAACATAAGCATACATGAAGCTGTACCTAATAGGTAGCCAATTTTGTTGAGAAAAAAATGCATTTAAGGTTTTACCAAACTTAGTAAGTTCAGGTTCTCATAGTAAATCCAAGCTGTCTGTTATAGATCGTTTCATCCACTAAGACGCGCCCCACTAATTTTTGGTCGAGGGAAGCACGGGGTGCGGGGTACGTTTGATCCGAGCATCATTATTGCAGTGTGCACAGTGCACACTCATGGATATTATTTAGCGTGTACCGATAACACTCAAACATTAGCCGAAGAATGGTGGGGCGCGTCTTCGTGGATGAAATGATCTATATTTTAATACTTATTTGAAGTCAAGCTCTGGCTACACAAGAGTTACAGCTGTAGGCATCAGAGGAGATATTGCCAAGTAGAAAGAAGTGAATAATAGTCAATATACAAACACATTTAAATGCATTTTTTTTCTAAAGTAATAAAGGATTTAAGGCAGTTATTATACATACCAATCAACGATGGAAACAAGTTCTTTGATGTCAGTGGTGACTTCCTCTGCTGTGGATTTTTGTTCATCCGTTTTCACTACAGCACTATCAGGCGCCATGGCAAATTCCTGGAATAAAAAAGGATTTTATGCAACGAACCAGTGTTTCTTAATATATGTACAGTGTGTAGTCTACGTTAGACACCTACAGTAAATGCAATTTATTCCCGTATTCACAAACATTACTATGTGGTCTCACAGTGCGCGTGGACGCACAGGCTCACACGAACCAATCACAGAGCTCTATTCAACGCTGTGCGTTCGATTTGCTGCTTCACTTAAGCAAGCATCGTTTGTGAATACATACGAATGTGTGTTGCAGGTTTGAAGACAGATATATAAATATTAATACCGATTCAAACGCAGACGTCGGTCTCTTTGGTGATTTCCGCATTTCCGTCGCAGAGTCAGAGCGCATATTTTTAATTCTGAAACAAAACATTATCCCATTTTAAAATTAGGATGAAAGGTCAGACAAAAGGGTTCTATCAGAAATAAACTGACCTTTTTTCGGCATTTTCCCCTCTTGCTATATTTGACATCCGGCGGTAGTCAGACGGCCGAAGATAGTTGACCTGGTGGGTTCGCAAAAAAGGTTAAAAAATACAGTCCGCACCAATAAAATTTTACAGATTTCTTACAAAAAATATTAGGTATGATGCAATTATAACAATAATACACATAAGACCCGGGCGTCGTATTCATGCGACAGTGACCCATTTCTGTTATTGGGAGTTTGTCTAATCTATCTATTATATAAAAGAAAGTCGTGTTAGTTACTCCACTTATAACTCAAGAACGGCTGAACCGATTTAGCTGAAAATTGTCAGGGAGGTAGTTTAGAGCCAGGAGACGGACATAGGATACTTTTTATCCCGTTATTTATTGCCATTAAGGCGGAACAAAGTTCGCCGGGTCAGCTAGTAACATATATTTTTTAATGTGGATGAACTGTAGTTAGCTTACTTGAGAAGCAGTCTCGTCCATTTTGTGGTGTTTCCCGGCAAATGATATTTGCCTGGACAGCACAGACTGGCTGGAATCCGGCTCCCTAGCCGTTACCTCCCGGAATTGATTCTCAAATAGTGGTATAAACGACTGAAAATAAAAATGTGATCAAATATAGTCTTATTTATTATTGTGTATAAGGTTCACTTTATTTTGTACTATTGAAGATATTTTTGTTGCAGGCCCGTATTATCAACGACTTCCAAAACTGGATCAAACTCGAGCAAAGATTCTGTTCTATGATGTATTGTTATGATTGGTCGATATCAATATTTGGACCAATCACAGGAATCTATGACTGAGGTTGAATCGAGTTTGAGCATTGTTTTGTAATACATAATTAGAGATTTGAGAAGAGTAAAAGATATTGCTCAAGCCAATTTGAAACTTTTAATGTTTCGAGTAGGAAACAGTAGGTAACAAAAGAAAATAAATCAAGTCATTCTCATTCCGCATGCAGTAGCTAATTATAAACTTAGAATCTTACCTCTTTAAGTCGCATTCCCAAGCTCATCAACACTTTCCCAGTGGTGGACCCGATGAGTATAAACTTGGACATCATCAGCTGAGTGATCTCATCATTCTCCAGCAGTGGTATTCCGTCTTGCGTCTGCCTCAGAAAGTATATGTAGCGACGGTTGCGATGGGTGTTCTGAGGTGTGAACCCCCCGAATACCGGTATCAGTTTTGGGTACTGGATTATACGGGGTATGGAGCGCTGAAATAATTAAAGTAATATTTTAAAGTCGACCTTGAGACGCTAGAAATAGGCACTTCTTTCCCACTGGGCGGTCTGGGCACGTGCCCCTAAATGTGGGTTTCGAAGGGGGCTCCCGTCTCTTGCGCTCTCAAGTTTTAAACAGTGATTTGAACCTAGGGTCCAGGGCACAGAGGGCTCTGGTGGATTTTGTATTTACTGACTGTAAATGAGATAAGTGCAGTAATATGCGTGCATCACATTCTAGAAGTGCATAGGAATGTCAAATATTACCCATGAGAGATCAAGCCAAACAATGTGGTATCTTCTATCGCTGTATTAGGTGTCATTATTACACTACGAGAAGCCTACTGTGTGCTGGAAAGATGTATTGCCTAATTATTTTATTTTACGAATAGCTACAATAACTTATTATGGCGTGTGCTCTTACAATAACAGTATAGAATTCCAAAGTCCCGTCGACATCAGGATCCAGATCCTCAGGAGCTGAACAAATTAGACATTATTTTAAAAATATTTTCAGACTTAATATGGGGTCTTGGATAAGTCCTATAGATGTTACACACTTTTCAAACAAACGTAATGACTACTGAATGGCGTCAATTTGGTTTAAGATGATCTAGAACCATGGAATGGCTTATAGCAAATATAAAATACTTACGAGGCGGAAATGAATACTTCTCCTCTGTGATACGAGGTTTCTCTTCTTCCTCGACGTGTTCCAACTCATATGTACTTTTAGGGTCAACTTCCTCTTCCTCTGTTATCGTTCCCGCCGCAGTTTCAATGTCGAATTCTGTTGGAAACAATTATATTAAAATCTATCTGAGGATAAGAAGAATTGTACTAGTCAAATATACAGTGGGACAGAGCTAAGGGCTCATACCATACAAGGGTATACATAAAAGAAGAAAAGAGCAAAATAATAAATATATTTAAAAGTAAAAGAAAATAAATAATAACCATTTGGCAATCCACCATGCCATGGGATGCAACAGGAGTGGGTTAGGAGATGTGGATAAGGTAAATCCCAGGGTCAAGGTCAGGATCAGGATCACGATGAAAAAAGTTGAAATAAAACAAAATCAATAAAATTATAAATGGACAAGGATAAAATAGGAGTGGTTGTAGCTATAAAAATTACATCATCCGAAATATTTTAATAATTAATTACCTTCTTCCACTTCAGGTTCCATGTCTGTGAAAATAAAAAAAAAGATTTAATTTAAAAAACAAAAATAGAGGGATTTATTTGCAGTAAACTTTTGTTAATTTAATAAAATATACAAGTGCTACTCAGAACTACTACTACAGTTGAGTTGTTACAAGCGTACCCAGTCTCCCCTACTACTTTTATATTTTATTTAGGTAACGCTAACTGTATAAGGATTTACCTTTGACACTTTTCATACTTTTCATGCTTTTCATGCTCTTCATACTTTTCATACTCTTCATGCTTTTAGCGCTTTTCTTTGATAGTTCTTCTTCTGGCTCTGGAGGGGGTGGTTCTTTTCCTTTCTTCTTCTTCTTTTTAGGTGGAGGCGGTGGTGGTACAGGAGGGGGGATGATTCCTGAAGTCATAATTAGTTTTCACATCAAATAAATAGGACTCCCACCTTAGGCAGTTCGATTTTTTCAAGATATTTATAATTTTCAAGCTTAGCTATGGCCTGAATAATAGTTAAGTGAAGGTATCACTATATGACTTCTTCAAGTTATTTATTCTTATGATAATGTCAGACGTTTATGCAGGAAAACCTCAACACATAGATGTAGTTGAGTACTTGACAATTCAAACTTTGTAACAAATAATATAAAGAAAACTTACTCCATTCCGTAAATTCTATGTCCTCATGAATAAGTTTGTCGACAATTATCTTTGTGACATAAAATGTTCTTTTGTCCAACGATTGTTCGTTAGGCTTCAGCGGCTGAGTGAGGAACGTAGTTAGCTTCTCTTTAGCTTCGGGTGTGTCCATCATATTGTAGAACAACTCGTCATCGTCCATGCCAATGTATGAGAGGACTCGTTTCTTCAGCCATAGTACTCGAGGGTCGGTTTGGAGGTCCAGCACAGGCAGCTCTTCAGCTGTAGCATCAGACACTGAATCGACGTCTGCATCCATTCTAATTGGAATATAAATTGCTTTGAAAACTTGTCACATAGAGAAAGTAAAGAAGTAAGTAGGTACCTATGATAGTAAACAGTAATAATAACTAACGTAATTGAATACTCAGATTACCTACTTATTTGTATACTGAATCTTGTTGAAGAATAGGAGGACAAAGTAGTATACAATACATACCTTACTTATGTTGCCTACCAGATTGATCGCGTCCTCAGAATGTTCTGTATTCTGAGATCGCGTCTGAACATACAAATACAAATACAAAATACAAATATTTTATTATGAAACACATGTTACATTGTCATTACAAATTAGCCTTATCCATTTAAGTTTTTAAAAACTTGTCCTAGGATAAAGCTGCTCTTCACAATGTTTAAAATTTCTAACATGAGTAGGTAACTAATAATTTTACGTTTAACAATTCCACGAAGCTCAGCAATACATGTATTGTGAATAGCATGAACCTATGTTAAGTGCTAAGTTTTTGCTCTTTATCAATCAAGGTTACTTTCAACATTGAGTATGAGCTGCTGAAGTATTAAAACTTCTGCATGAAATTGTAATGTAAATGTACTTACTTGAGCAAATCAGTATTCCTTTGAATTGAATTCACAAGACTTATCACCTACTTTGCCATTTATAACGTAAACTCTAAATTAATGTTATTAAAACTAATCAATAAAATTAAGTTTAGTAGTAACCAAGTAGCAAAGAAACAACTGAACCGTTTATTTGTAAACAATCAAACAAGTTGTGGATGTCATGGAAACAATGTGACCACAGATATGGATTAGAGAATGTGACAGCTGTTTTTGACAGCTTCAAAATTTTGCGGTTGTTGTAATGATAGCACGACAGAGTGCACCACTGAAATAATTATTTGTTGAAAACTTTATTAACTTTATTGCATAATAATCAAGGAGTGCAAAAGACGAACTTAATTCCGTATGACATTATCTTCCAGTCAAACTTTGGGCGGCCAAGTAGATAGTTCTGTTCGCGGTGCATTATATAATATGGGTTAAGTAAAGACAATTTGTTTTTGTTTAGAACTAATAGATGGCACTGTATTATGAAATTAATGTTTCCGCTCACCAGCTGGCGCCACCGGCGAGTGATCATAGTGGCGCCACCTGATGAGGGAAATAAAATACCTCAGAAATTCAGAATATAACAGGAACATAAAAACCCTCGCCATGTTGCGGAAAAGTAATGGTACTAATTTCTTTTAATGGCAACAGTAACTGAAAACTTCATTGTCATGTCACCTTGCATGTCAGTCTATTGCTGTCAAAGTGTAAACAAACTTTATTTTAAATGTGCACAATTGATTTTGTGAATTAAATTGCTAAAATCTTATTATAGTCGTGAAAGAAAAGTGGTTTACAATGTGTTAAAGTATTTGTCGAAGAGAAATACTAAGGGTTCGGACAATATTTTCATTGAATAATGTTTCCGACAAAGGTTGTCAAATTGACTGACATGTTTATCGCATAGTACAGTCCACTATGAAAATTAGCTGTGGTTTGTTTCAACTACCTGTTTTAAAATTTTTTGTCAATTTAAGTGTTGAATTTTATGGAATTGGGAAAGAAGTACCGAGTTTGAAGCGTTCATGAGCAAAGTTCAAGTATTTCAAATCTATGGTTGAGAAACAGAAAGACAGGAAGATCCAAACTATCAGGACAGACAATGGAGGTGAATTCTGTAGTCTTGAGTTTGAGAGGTACTTAGCAGAGCAAGGAATAGTGCATCAGAAGACCAATGCTTACACACCACAACAGAACGGCTTGTGTGAACGAATGAACAGGTCAGTAGTGGAGAAAGCAAGGTGTTTGCTATTTGATGCCGGTCTTGACAAGAAGCTTTGGGCAGAGGCCGTGAACACCTCGGTTTACCTCAGAAATAGATCTGTTGTTTCGGGATTGAATGACAAGACACCCTACGAGATCTGGACAGGCCAGAAGCCAAACTTGAGCCATTTGCGAGTTTTTGGAAGTACTGTGATGACACATATCCCAAAGGAGAGACGCAACAAGTGGGACAAGAAGGCGAAGCAGCTAATTCTCGTCGGCTACGCTGAGAACGTGAAGGGATACCGGGTATATGATCCAGCTACTAACTCTGTGACCACAAGTAGAGACATCATTATCATGGAACATCCAGAGAAGAACACCGTGGACATAGTAGTTGAAAGTAAATCTTTACCAGAGGACGTGCCAGTAATACCAGAGTGCAGGCCAGATATGTCAGACGACCAGATTAGACCAGAGACTTCATATTCTGAAGAATATGACAGAGACAGCTCTTATGTACCAGATCTAGATGCTTCTTCGGTAAGTACTGAAGATGATTTTCATGATACTACCCCAGAAGTAGAGATGATACCAAGTACTGCATGTGAGAGACCAAGGAGAACTCGAAGAGCACCAGATAGATATGGTTTTAATAATCTGTGTTTTGTAGAGGACCAAACTGAAGTTGATGCAGGAGACATCACACTCGAAGAAGCTCTCAATGGACCTGAAAGCAAATTCTGGAGAGCAGCCATGCAGGAGGAGCTGAAATCTTTCGAAGACAACGACGCGTGGGAGGAAGTTGATCGCCCATATGACAAAACTGTGGTTCAATGCAAGTGGGTCTTTAGAAAAAAGTGTGACAGTACTAACAATGTGAGATACCGTGCAAGGTTAGTTGCCAAAGGATTTTCTCAAAAGGCTGGTATAGATTATCATGAGACATTTTCCCCTGTGCTTCGGTATTCCACATTGCGACTGTTGTTTGCACTTGCTGTAAAATTAGATTTAGATGTGTGTCACCTAGATGTGACAACTGCTTTTTTAAATGGTTTTCTGAAAGAAACAGTGTACATGAATAAACCTATTATTGCTGATGATTGTAAACAGTTAGATAACAAGGTATTAAAGTTAAAGCGTGCTATTTATGGCCTAAAGCAATCTTCCAGAGCTTGGAATGATAGAATTGATAATTATTTGCAGAGTTTAGGTTATAAAAATTCAAAGTATGAGCCATGTTTGTATACCAAATTTGAAGGAAATGTAAAAGTTATAATTGCTTTATTTGTAGATGATTTTTTTGTGTTCTACAATTGTAAATCAGCTATGGATTTATTGGTAGAAGAGTTGAGTAAAAAGTTTAAAATTAAAAATCTTGGCCAGTTGAAACAATGTTTGGGCATGAGAGTCAAAATTAGCAAAAATGTAATATCTCTTGACCAAGAACAGTATATTGAAAGTTTATTAGAGAAATTTAATATGTCACAATGTAAAAGTGTTTGTACTCCTATGGAGATTAATCTTAAATTAGATAAGGCAGAAAATGATTGTTATAAATGTCCTTATCAGCAACTTTTGGGTAGCTTGATGTATTTAGCAGTAATGACTAGACCTGACATTTCATACAGTGTGAGCTTTTTAAGTCAATTCAATAATAATTATAATGAAACTCACTGGAAACATGTAAAGAGAGTACTAAAGTATTTGAAACATACTAAAAACTATGGTCTTGTGTTTAGTAAAGATGATCTTTCTATTAAAGGTTTTGTAGATGCAGACTGGGGTTCAGATGTGACAGATAGGAAATCATATTCTGGGTTCTGCTTTACTCTGTCTAACTCAGTAATTTCTTTTGAATGTAGAAAGCAGAGAAATGTAGCATTATCAAGTACTGAAGCTGAGTACATTTCAATGTCAGAGGCCAGTAAAGAGGCTATTTATTTAAAGAATTTGTTGGCTGAAATTGTAGGAAGTTCAGAACCTATTATGTTGTTTAATGATAGCCAGAGTGCCCAAAAATTGGTATCGAATCCAATTTTCCACCGAAGGTCGAAACACATCGACATAAGGTACCATTTTGTAAGAGAGGCTGTACAGAATAAGATGATTGCTATATGTTATCTTCAAACAGCAGAAATGCCCGCTGACATTTTAACCAAAAGCTTAGGTACGATCAAGCATTACTATTTTATGAAAAAGTTAGGCATTTCTCCTGTTTCTTAATAGTAATTTAGTTTTTTAGCATAATGGTGTACTTGGTAATGTGTAACAAAGTGCCTTGTATGTATAGTTAAAGGTTTCTATTTTTTAACTTGATTATTTTGTTAAGGGCAGGTGTGAAAATAACAAAATAATCTATGGTCATTGTTTATTGTTTTTGTCTATGGCAATAAAAGTTAGTCTTAAAAAAACCGCCAACTGCGTTTTATTAACAAATATTATGTCCATAATAGTACGATAGTCGCTCACTGGCGACATATCCAATGAAATTAAGATATTTTACAATTGCAATGTGAACTGTAAAACTTTTTTAAGAAAGACATTTTAAATTATTTATCTTCATTGAAGACGGTCTGGTAAGTTATAGTTGGACAAACGTTAAAACCATTACTCGACGTAAGAGCATGTTGGCTGTCTGGCGTATATTTATTTATCCGTTCTTATTTACTCGCAGACACGGCATAAATGTTTAATTCTGTGGCCAACTGTTTTGCGGCACGTCGGATCTGCCGAGATGTGGCAAAATATTTATTGTTATAATTCCTATTGTTGGGAGATGAATTTTAAAATGCGTAAGGCTTAAAAGTACGAATGACCGGACAACTTATTTATTGTAGGTGTTAATCCATTTTACCCTGAATAAATAAACCGACCATGACAGAAAATACAACGCATTTTAAAATGTGTACCTACAATTAACCGCAGTAGATTCATTTACATTAATTCAATTTCATTGTTGGAATTATCGTATCATTTATTCATAGCATACAATGAGTGCAGTATCCTTTGCCATAATGTAATAGCTATTGTAATGGCAGAAATAAAACACATTGCTGCTCAAGAGCTTTGTATCGTAAACAGTAAATAGCCATAACGGGAAAGTAGAAAATAACGAGCGACAATAACAGTTACCATTACACTCGGGGCAGGCAGAAGGCAGTTTTTATACTCTTGACTTCACATCTCTCCTCGCTATCTTAATTTAATTATACTCACTGAAAACTTTTAGGGGTGATCTCTAATCTGATTTTGAAAGAAGCAGTAGAAACGAAAGAGCAGGGTTATTTGTTAGAGATAGAAATGAAATAGTTTATTCAGTAAATAGGCCCTTTCCAGAGCACTTATACGAATTCTTGTGGGTAAAGATTAGGTCCTAACTTTTCAATCTGGTGGTGACACCCAAACTCATACTTTGCGATCTTAACAGGTAAAAGAAGATTGGAAATACGTTGCAATGGTGCTCGACAGATTATTTCTATGGATATTCACGCTGGCCGTGCTAGTGGGCACGGCCGGCATCATCCTGCAGGCGCCCACGCTCTACGACGACCGGGTGCCCATAGACAAGCACTTCAACCAGTACGCCACCTCGTCTCTGGTGCGATGTCCGCCGCCCGCGTAATACCATACTCAAAACCCGACGATGCACTATGAACCAAAAGCCCAATCTAGCTGGACAAAAAGGGTCATCGCATATCTTTCATTCGTTTAGCAAAAACGATAGCTTAATAACCAGAGGTTACGATTCAGTCATTATTTTTAGCAACTATCCTCTGATAATTTAGTAATTTTAAGACGAACTTGAACAAGTGAGTATTTTACGATCAAATTATTCACTTTCTTGAGGTTGATATATCAGTGTCTCCTGATTAATTCTAATACAATTGTGAAAATTTTTGTTATGGATCGTGAAGTAGAAGGTACGTATTACATATTAAACCAAAAAAATGTTCCTAAAGCCTATTAATTAATTAAGATACATGTAGAAATAAAATGAAAATTATTATTTTTTCACGTTTTTCTGTATTTGCGAGACCAGGAACTACATGGCCCCTCATGTCCCCGGGCTGGATTTTTTATATGAAGTAGCCACATATGTGAGCTTCAAAAAATAGTAGGTTGTAGACAGCACACTGAAGCACAACTTTGATTTTTTTGCAGAAAACGTAGTGGCGGTGACCAGAAGCNGATATTAATTTGGACTAGCGATCCACCCTGGCTTCGGACGGACTTTTATGTGGGTCTTTTTAAGAAGAAAAGCCCCACAGTAACTTTTTTCTTATATCTCAAACAGATTAGGTAGCGTCCTCTATAAAAGGATCAAGACGGCTTAGTTTTTCCGACATCTTTAACTCGTTATATTTCAACCAATTAACACAAAAGCTTATCTATTTACCTGCATTGAAACCTTCCTCTTAAAATGTTTTATCTGTTCATGAAATCCACACTAAAATCCGTTGCGTAGCATACAAAAAGACGGAGTGATTTTGTTTTATACTTTGTAGAGATGATTTAATATAGAGCGGAAGTCACAAGGATATAAATTTCCTAAAGGTTATGCGATTTCACTGATAAATGAAAGTTAATTACTTATGGATTAAGATTCTTTAGTCTTTTACATCGAGTGTCCTAGAAGACAAAGCTATTAGAGGATGTCTTGGTTACTCGTANTGTTTAATGATAGCCAAAGCGCCCAAAAATTGGTATCGAATCCAATTTTCCACCGAAGGTCGAAGCACATCGACATAAGGTACCATTTTGTAAGAGAGGCTGTACAGAATAAGATGATTGCTATATGTTATCTTCAAACAGCAGAAATGCCCGCTGACATTTTAACCAAAAGCTTAGGTACGATCAAGCATTACTATTTTATGAAAAAGTTAGGCATTTCTCCTGTTTCTTAATAGTAATTTAGTTTTTTAGCATAATGGTGTACTTGGTAATGTGTAACAAAGTGCCTTGTATGTATAGTTAAAGGTTTCTATTTTTTAACTTGATTATTTTGTTAAGGGCAGGTGTGAAAATAACAAAATAATCTATGGTCATTGTTTATTGTTTTTGTCTATGGCAATAAAAGTTAGTCTTGAGAAAACCGCCAACTGCGTTTTATTAACAATGGAAACAATTGTGACAGCTGTTTTTGACAGTTACAAAATTTCGCGGTTGTAATGATACCACGACAGAGTGCACCACTGAAATAATTATTTGTTGAAAACTTTATTAACTTTATTGCATAATAATCAAGGAGTGCAAAAGACGAACTTAATTCCGTATGACATTATCTTCCAGTCAAACTTTGGGCGGCCAAGTAGATAGTTCTGTTCGCGGTGCATTATTTATTATGGGTTAAGTAAAGACAATTTGTTTTTGTTTAGAACTAATAGATGGCATTGTATCATGAAATTAATGTTTCCGCTCACCAGCTGGCGCCACCGGCGAGTGATCATAGTGGCGCCACCTGATGAGGGAAATAAAATACCTCAGAAATTCAGAATAATTATTGAATATTAAAATTAATTTAGTATAATATCGTTACAGAAATAAATTAATCCTTGGACATTACACTGTCCCATCTAGTCCCAAACTAAGCTGTACACCATTTTGTATTGTTCGGGGATTGAACCCGCGATCGACCGCGACCTTTTTAGGCCAGACGGCCCCGTTTTAAATAAAAAAAAGTTGGTGCTTACGAAAAGTTTTATGCACTGGAAACTTATACATGAATAGGAATTTGAATAAAAATACAATGAATATAATGATTTTTTAATATTATCATAACTTACAAAACTTAAATAATTTGATTTTATTTACAATAATAAAATATGTACTTATTAGATATTTTCTTAAATAAATAAATTGCTCACAACTATGTCTTAAAAAGTAAATTGGCGTGATGGGACAACTTTAGAATAACCATTGTTATTTTCTTCAAGCTCTAATCTCGCATTAACGTTGTCCTGTCTCGACTGTAGTTTCCCAACTGATGATTGAGGAGCCGAATATGACGAAGGACCGGCATATAAATTATTTACTTCATTAAACTGCCTATCAAATTGCTTAGCTGAAGGCGTGTGATCAACAGAATAATCTACACTAGAAGTTTGAACTAGCTTTTGCTTAGGACTTCCAAACTCATCAATCTGGAAAGCATTTAAAATTTTTTGTTGTTCCTTTTCATCTTCTAACTGATAGCTAACTGAAGGAATAAATTGGAATGCAACGACATTCGGAAAATCGTTTCCCTGAGTTAATTTAGCACTCTTTTGACTACCGTCAATATTCAGTTGCACTAGGTTTCCGTTAGTTTGTATATTTTGTGGAAATGAGTTGTCTAGTTTTGTATAGACATAGTACGATTCATCCTTTTTATAGGTCACAAGTTTATTGTCTGATAACGGATGGTTTATCGTCCCTACAATTTTATCTTGTAACTGAGCAGAGATGCCATTATTTGTACTTATGAATTTACTAAAGTTCTCTTGACTGTTAAATTCGTCTAATTCAGTTGTGGGAGATGCTTGTAGCTTTCCAGATGTGATGGGGATGGACTGTGATTTGATAATTTCCACATCACCATCAGGGGCTCTATTATTGTTATTACTACTTACAACATTGTTATTTTGGCTGGAAAAGTTTTCCTGTTGTTGGATTTTACTAGACTGTACATTTCCATTATTTTGTCCATTGTAATACTGATTAGTCACTTCGGGAACTGGAAGTTGGTATAACTGGCCACTGTATACTTGTTTAGAATTAGACTGTACTGTGTTATATTGCACGCCTGTGCCGCTTTGTAAGCGCGCGGACTGTGGTTGATTAGTGGTTTGTGTCGACCCATAATTATTCTGAACTCTTTGGCTTGATTGAATTTGGTTTTGTGACAAATTATTTGTTCCAGAATCTCTATACTGATAACCCTGATCTTTTGTTGTAGTTTGAACTGTGGATACAATGTTCGCAGATTTATATGCCTGATTATTTCCTGAATATTGTGAGGATGTGAGTTGAGATATTTTATTTGTGATATGCGCTAAATCATCATTATTAATGTTTTGAATTGGTGCTCGTAACTGTGCTGACTGTTCTTGATGTGCTGTGTTGCTGTATTCTTTGGCTACGTTGATTGAGTCGGCCAGGAGTGAAAACACCAGTGCCTGTGAATTAGAAATGTTGGTTGGTTTATCCACGACTATTTTTCCAATAGGTATAAAGCTTGCACCATTTTTCTTTGATTCTGCATTGTTAGTTAAAACTAGATAGTTACTGCTGCCAGTATTTAATATTTCAAGATGATCAAAATTGTTTTCGCTCTGATTTTTAAACAAATAAGTGGCAATTGTTTCGGGTATTGAAATTTTTAATGAAACAGTTCTTTCGATAGTGTTCGTGGGAACTAATGATTCTTTATAAAATGGCAAATTTGAAAGTTGATTAGAGTTTTGATTTTCGTTATTAAATGTTTCAACCGGAGGTTCTAGGTCAGTGGCTGGGGTAGCTACCAGACGAGCAGTTTTAAGCTCCGTTGTAGGAAGCTGAGAAGTTAATTTTTCCCCACTGTCAGTACTAGTAGGTTCGGGTGGTAAATAATTTTCATCAACATAATCTACGACATTTATATCACTTCGGTACTCCCCAAACTGGGGAGGAGATGCAGTTTTCAAGAATGTTCTAGTATCTTTTACAATATCATTGACTGTAAGATCTAATTTTTCTTTAGTAAGTATGTCAGTAAACGTAAGGTTTTTATCATTAGTAACGGTTTGAGATTGTTTTGATTGTGGGAAAGCTGAACTGTTTAATACTTCAGCATTTGGAACTGCATAAGTTGGCGATGGTGTAGTGGGAGCGGCTCTTAACTGCTCACTTTGATATGACTCTGGCTGCTGTAGAGTAGGTGGTGCTAGATATTGCCGAGATAGGACAGGTGAGCTTTGTAAAGGTGGCAGGTAAAGTCTTGAAGAAGGATTGTATGTTGTAGGAGCAAGGTAAAGTCGTGAAGCTTGCGTAGGTGGCAATGATGTCGGTGTTAGATATAAGCGAGATAAGGTTTGACGGGGTGTGGTCGGTGTTAGATAAGCCCGTGATGGTTCCTTAGATGGCGAAACTATCTGTTTTGCTGCTGTCGTAGGTTTATTATAAACATAAGGCTGTTCTGATTCTGTTACCAGTCTTGCTGTTGGCTTATTGTAAACATAAGCTTGTTCTTTTTCTGCTACAAGCCTTGCCGTAGGCTTGTTATATACATAAGGTTGTTCTGATTCTGATCTTAGTTTTGCTGTTTGTGTTGTTGGTTTATTATAAACGTAAGGTTGTTCAGCTTCTTTCGTTAATTTTGCTGACTGGCTAGTTGGTCTATTGTATACATAAGGAGTAGTGTCAATCAGCTTTTCCGCTGGAGGCTGCGTAGGTTTCTCATAAGTATAAGGTGTAGGGTTTATTAATTTAGCACTTTTAGATGGTTTCACTATCCAAGTCTTAACTGTAATTCTGGATTTAGGGCCACCACGTTTCGGTTCCTGAATGACTCTTTTAAGTGTTAGTGTTTTAGTAATAACTGTAGAAGGTATTTCGTTGTCTGCACTTACCAGGTTTTGTTTCGCCTCATTACCAACTTTACCATTAATTTCATTGGAAAATTGCAATGGTGGTTGTTGATATGTGTAGGGTTGTCGAACTTGATTTGAATTGTACTGTTGGTTTGTTAAAGGTTCACCAAATGACAATTGTTTCCCACTATTCAATCTAGCAGGATTTTGATAGTTTGTGTATTGTGAGTTTAGTTGATTCAGCTGTCCTCTCTGAATGTTTATTGCGTTTTGTGTGGAAATTGATGGAGTAGGTCGCGTATTACTTAATTGTCTTTGCCCGTATTGTACGATTCCATTGTTATAGCTCTGAGTAGGTCGCGTCGATAGTAGATTAGCGTTACTTATCATTTGTGTAAATTGTCCTGCATGCCCGTTAGAAATAACAGTTCCTGGAGCATTTTGGAGTCTTTGGTTTTGAGCGTATTGACCATATTGCCGTTGCCGTTGAAATACTTCAGCATCTCTTTGGCCATTATTGAATGCTGCGGGAAGGTATCGGGGATCAGGAGTGGAAGCAGCAAATGCGATATCATTGCCTCCGAAGTTATTTTGACTGAATTGCACTTGCTTTGCTGGCACGTAAATATTGTTGGGAGGTCTTTCGGGACCAGCTATTAGAGCTCCATTGGGGAACAATTGTCCAAAAGGTGGCTTGTAATCTTGCATCACGACAAGATTGCTCTTCATCGCAGTTTTATCGTAAGGATTTCGCATTGGATGCGTGAGCATTTTCTTGATGTCCTTCATGAGCTGGGGACCAAGTCTTAGGTTTCCAAATTTCTCATTGTTGTTATTGAAAAGTTGCGCTGACTCCTGGCACTTCACGTTCATCCACCAGTCGCAGACGAAGACAGCTTGGTTGAAGAGTGTTCCGTTCGGGCAAAGAAACGACTGGAATCCGTAAGTAGATCCGAGGGTGCAAACGCGGAACACTTGGCAATTGGTTTCCAAGTCAGCGTAGTATCCTGAAACAGTAGATATTGATACTTTTAGGTGTAGGTAAGTCACTTGCAAAAGGTGTAAAACAATACTAACATGGTGACAAAAACAATTTGCAGATTTCATAAGAATTAGCTTTATTAGGTTAACACGCAGTGGAGCTCGAAGGTGGTAAGGTAGTATAGCTAAGCCATTATTATTCAGCCACACTTTATTTGGTAGATTTAAGGTAACCATGAGATAATAAAGATCGACGACGCTAAATTGAACTCTAACAATACAAACCTGGTGCCTTTCCAGCGCAAGAGAAGGATGTCCTAGGAATAGCGCCGAGCGTAGGGTAGTCGCTTCCAGGTTCACCAGGCACCGCCAGTCGGATGTCCCAGCCATGCCCGTGCTCCTGATGAGCTGACGTTCTGCCGTTCTGAGCTGTGGCCCAGGAGATGGGTAGACACACTGGAAACAACACATCATCATCATTTCAGCCATAGGACGTCCACTGCTGAACATAGGCCTCCCCTAATGCTTTCCACGTTGATCGATTGGTAAACAACACAATCAAGTTATTGTATTCTTTCTAATTTATTAGTTCTTGATGTGATGGTCGTTCTAAAATGAGGTCAAAGTCTAGTATCTCTAAACTTTGGGCAGTTGTTTTGATATTCCTTTCAGGACGTATTTGTTAATAAGTTTAACTAGGTACCTACTTAATTAAGATCATGATAAAGTTAATTACGTCATTCTTAATCAAGTAAAGTAGGTTATTCAAGAACAGCGAAGTTCTGGGAATGAGATTTACCTACTCATTATAGAAATTAGAATTTGCGGAAGATAAACATCATTGCCTCTAGTCTTGCTCAAGAATAACAAGTAAGTAAAAAGTGCTCAACTCGCCTTATAATATAATCATTATATTAATTAGTTTGTCCTCAAACATAGTTCAATATATCGGCACGTAGTTTCCACAATGCGTACTATGTTGCAAACATGTGCCAAAGAGATAGTTCACATGGTTTTTGTGCGTTCAGTAATCAGGTGGCAAAAAGCGATTCAATATGCTACTTGGATACTTGCTTCGTGTCTTGGTAGAAAATCGTAATTATGGTTAACACTCAATAATATACCTACTTGGTTATGACTTTACCTAATTCTATTCATACGTAAAACGGGAAATCCAATGATAAATAGGCAACATAAACGTTTTGTTTATTTTAAAGGGCATAATAACCCATTGTTATTTATTGTTGCTCAAGCCACTTTATCCTAGGATTACAAGCTTCCCGAGGGTGTTGTGACAAATCATCATGTATCATCATAATGATGCTGCATGAAATGTTTGTTTTTGTAAATAGGAAGAATGTTTGTATTAAATTATTTCGCTAGGAAAATCATAGCAGAACTTTTCTGAAGTGTTAACTCACTGCCTGGTTATACTTATTCGTAGAAGTTTATAACTGACTTTAAATCTTAACTGTATGCATTTAGTACCAAGGGACTTGAGTTTTAAGTTCAATATCTTGTATTAAACTTGAAACACAAACGAGCAGAAGGGCGGGCAAATGTTAGCTTTCTATAGGTACTTAACTATTACTAAATCATTGCGGATACTTTCATAAAGCTTCAGCACTACCTACTTCAGCGCTTTTCGGAGGCTCATTTCTTGAGAACAATAAACGCAAAGCTAAGACAAATGGATAGATTTAGTAAAACATATTGTAGCATAATGTCCTAGATAGAAAGTAGTTACTTACGATACAATATTTCAGTGTTCTTCCAAAGTTTCAGCCCATATCGCTTGTAGGCCGGTAACTTTTATGTAGCATGATAGATAGCTGTAGTAACTTCGTATAGGGTGCGATTCTGAACTACATATTTAAGTACATAATAGATAAACTTCATGTGGCATTTCCTTTCTTTATTTACCTATACTTTTATACCTCTTTTAATCCAAGATCATTATTGTATTTTAACTGTATATGCCAGTTTTCACTATTAAATTAGAATGGTAGAGCTACTCATTCTAATTTAATAGTGAAAACTGGCATATACAGTTATACACATAATTTTACACTAGTATCAACCTATAGCAATGTACCTACATAGAAACAGTCTGGCAAATTGCATCAGACAATAATATTTTTTGAATAATCGCACGGTTTACAAAGTCTAGGTTATTTTTGAACTTGATGTGTTGATGTCCATATTATTTACTAAATACAAAATAGTGTTTTATGTAGACAGTAAAAATTCCCGGAATTGTTTCCCGTTGTTTGATATCCCCAAACGAATATTGAAAACGTGCTGTGCGGTTATTGCTCCATAGATTGGTTGTTGTGTGTAAGGTAATCCAATCAAACTAACTACAGGGGACCGTTGATGCGATCTGAAACCCGAATAAGCCATTTAATGAGGCTTTCATAGGATATACTGGGTTTAGATTGAGTTCGTGGAAGAGTTCACTATAAACGCGTTGTGCGTAGGTACCTTACACATCATCATATTGTTGTTAGGGATTATCTAAGTTCTGAAAATATGTTGCTATCCTGTCAAACTANATTTCGTTGCGGGTCCAATGACAGTTTAACTTTCCCCCGGGACAAACTTGACCTTCATTGGTTGGGTTTTTGTGGCGGTCAAGCTGTAGATCCTGGCTACACAGGAGTTGCAGTGGTGGGAACGAGAGGTGGGAATAGTCCCGTAGCAGTGCCCGCGACTTCGTACGGGTAAAAATCATTTTTTGCTCTGCACCTTTTACTCGTAGCGTGATGGTATATAGCCTATAGCCTTCCTCGATAAATGGGCTATCTAACACTGAAATATTTTTTTAAATCGGACAGGTAGTTCCTGAGATTAGCGCGTTCAAGTAAACAAACAAACAAACTAACTCTTCAGCTTTATTAGTAAGTATAGATTCCTTTCTTTATTTACCTATACTTTAATAGTTACCTCTTTTAATCCAAGATCATAATAAGTAGCTCTACCATTCTAATTTAGATAGCGTTTTAATAGTGAAAACTCTACACATAATTTTATACTAATATCAACATAGGTGATAGGAATGTATGAGTACATAGAAACGGACACAGTCAAGCAAATTGCAGCAGACAATAATATTTGTTGTATAATCGCACGGTTTATGATATCCCCAAACGAATATTGAAAACGTGCTGTGCGGTTTATGCTCCATATATTGGTTGTTGTGTGTAAGGTAATCCAATCAAACTAACTACAGGGGACCGTTGCCGTTGATGCGATCTGAAACCCGAATAAGCCATTTAATGAAGCCTTTATAGGATAAACTGGGTTTAGATTGAGTTCGTGGAAGAGTTCACTATAAACGCGTTGTGCGTAGGTACCTTACCTTACGCATCATCATATTTCATTGTTGTTAGGGATTATCTAAGTTCTGAAAATATGTTGCTATCCTGTCAAACTGTCAACTACTTATCTACTGACACGAAGACGACGTGAAAATCCTCTATGTGAAAATCTTTTAGGCCTAATTAAGAACTATCAGCACTTTGTAACTAAAATTCAGATACAAAGAATAAAAACTGGGAAAATATATTTTCACATTTACTATAATGCTAAAACTAGTAATTACCAGCATTACACTAATCTAGTTTGTAAATAAACAGAAAACACAATTTGTTTAACGTATTTTGCACTTTATTAGAAGCGTAACATTATGCGTATTGACCTACACAAGTAGGCATAACTATTATGTCTTACAAATTATGCCTATTATATTTTACGACAAATTCCGGCTATCTGTATTCATTTAATTACATAAGATGCGTAAACATAAACAGGCTCGGAATGCATTCATAATATTTAGTATTCATAGAGTGATAGACGTTTATTAGCCAGGTGATGGCAGCCACCGTGACCTGTGTCGACACAGTCACACCTTTATCTGGACCGAATTCTTAATTGTTATCTAACTTTGTCACAAATATGACGTAACGCTACAACACAGCTCGAAGAACTGATGGCTGTTGGGGTAGAAAAGTTCTCGAGTGGTGACCACGGGGATAATACACTAGGTAGACCGACGATCTGGTGAAGGTCGCTGGAAGAATCTGGATGCGGGCAGCGCAACACCGGCCGTTATGGAAATCCTTGGGTTTTGTCGAGATATGGATGTAATTTGGCTGAAACGACGTCAACGACGATGACGTAACGCTTTCCATTAATGACGGTGTGCAAACTCTCGCTCTTTAACAGTTTTTCTTGGCTATTGAATGAAAACAATTAGCCTTCCCATGAGTGTGGGCCGATGATCGCTTAAGCTGCTTTCTTAACGGATTAGGCTATTATTGACTGATATTTTTAGCACAAATTACGAAAAAATAAAAGCTTAACAAGAGATTATTATTATTGAAGATTTGTTGAAATAACACGTGTAAAGAACATGAAACAAAATAACGTTAGACCAAGCCGTTTCATTTGTATAATATGTACACTTGCAACGTTTTTGGCATAGCAGAATCAATTGGAAACCATAAGAAAAACAGTATGGTACCTATTAACTTCTGTTGAAAAGTCATAATGTAATAATTTTGATATTATTTAAAACCTGCATTCTGGGTTTTTTGTGAGTCGTCAATGTTCTAATTTAATTACACCTACTTGAAAAGCCACGATAAAAAAACTCTACTTAGGTATCAAGTAAAGCACGTATCGTTTTTAACACTTTCGCTGGCAGTACCAATAACACTTCTATTGTGTCTGGAATCTATTCCACAAATAAGAATAATTAATTGATTTGTGCATATCATTAATCAAATGCCATATGCCGCATATTTCAAAGATGGCGGCGATAAGCTAGCCTTTGTAGGTGACATCCGACTTTCGCCCAAACAACAGGCCTATTCGTTATTGTAATTTATACAGTCCACATTTCTTAATGGCGTGTGTTTTCGTGAATCACCCGATTATTTATCGGTGACGTAACAGTTCCTCAAGTTAATGGAATTCTTTTGATGTTGTTGCCGGTGGGAGTGCGTGATTTATTGGACGCGAAAAGTTTCGGTGTTAAGCACCTCCGACCTATGGATTAGGATATTAATTTTGACTAGCGATCCGCCCCGGCTTCGGACGGGATTTATAAGAGGAAAAGCCCCACCGTTACTTTTTTCTTATATCTCAAACAGATTTAATGCATCAAGCCGGCTTAGTTTTCCCGACCTCTTTAACTCGTCGTTATATTATTTCAACAAACTAAGCGGCCGCCCGCGACTTCGTGCGCGTGAATCCCGTTTTATCCCCTTAGGGGTGGAGTTTCGTAAAATCCTTTCTTAGCGGATGCCTACGTCATAAGATTTACCTGCATGCCAAATTTCAGCCCGATCCGTCCAGTGGTTTGGGCTGTGCGTTGATTGATCACTACGTCAATCAGTCAGTCAGTTACCTTTGAGTTTATTTAAGTAGATTAACACAAAACCTTATCTATTTACCTGCATTGAAACTTTCCTCATAAAATATTTTAAATAATTTATCTATTGATGAAATCCGCACTAAAATCCGTTGCGTAGCATACAAAAAGACGGAGTGATTTTGTTTTATACTTTGTAGAGATGATTTAATATAGAGCGGAAGTCACAAGGATATAAATTTCCTAAAGGTTACGCGATTGCACTGATAAATGAAAGTGAATTACTTATGGATTAAGATTCTGTAGTCTTTTACATCGAGTGTCCCAGAAGACAAAGCTATTAGAGGATGTCTTAGTTACTCGTAATTTATGAAGATGATTGGTTTTCTAAAACTGAAATTCACACGATAAAGATCTATTGTTAATATGATTAACTGGTTCCTATGCTGGTACACTGCCCGTTAGGAAGCTTTGATTTAACAACTTGATTTATCTTATTTTATTGAGTTATTTTACTTTTAGGCAATGTTATCCCCTAAGAGTAAGTTTAAGTGTTTACAGTTCAGTGTCAAGTTAATCTATATATAGGTAGGTACTTATAATAAATCTGTAGAGAGGTCAATTCTGTACATTAAATATATTTTCAAAATAACTATCAGGGTGTGATTAGTGATCGATACTGATGCCAAAAATGCAATCAGTAAAATGTTTGTCTGTCTGTCTGTCTGTATGTTCCTTATAGAAACAAAAACTACTTGACGGATTTTAACGAAACTTGGTACAATTATTTTTCATAGTCCTGGGCAGGTTATAGTATACTTAGGAATTCCCATGGAAACGGGAATTAGCGGGAAAATCCTTTTGTATGAAAAATCTAAACCGCTTAAATTAGACGCTTGAAATTTGGCATACAGGTACCTTAGTAAACTTAAAGATTAGTTACAACACGATATTGCAAAATTCCTACGGGAACGGGAGTTAGCGGGAAAAAACATTTGTATGAAAAAATCTAAACCGCCTAAGATAGATAAAGGGGGTAAAACGGGATCCACGCGTACAAAGTCGCGGGCGGCCGCTAGTTTCACATAAAGCTTTAGGAAGCTAGGTCTGACAGTTGAATACAGTCAGTATACAGTGTCAGCACAATTTAAAAATATATTTAACTAGCTTTCCGCCCGCGGCTTCGCACGCGTGAAATTTCGTTTGTCACAGATCGTCATAAATTATAGCCTATTATGTTATTCTGGATTATTAATAATAATACTGTAAAGATTCATCAAAATCCGTTCAGTGATTTTTGAGCCTATTCATTACAAACATACAAAAATAGGTAGGTACAATTCTTTCCTCTTTATAATATTAGTATAGATTAGCACATTAATTTGTAATAAGCCTGTGAGTACTTTATCATATTCATTTACCTATCTTATCTCACATAGCGGAGAACAATAAATTACATAAAAATATTCAAATAAGTAGGTCACATTAAACAGTGAAGAATTCCCTTTGGAATGGTATACATTCTTTACCTTGACAATCTCTGTGCCCCGGGCCACTGCGTATATTGATCAAAAGTTACTTACGAAATAATATGATTTTTGGCAGAAAAGATACGCGCATTTTCGTGTCAGTCGCAAATAAAGAAAATAATGACTTCCCTTTGAAGTTGATGAGCTTTGTTTATTAACTTTCGTTTGAACTGAAAGAATGATTATCATAATGCGGCTATATTTGATGTTTACTGGTTACTATTGATTTTATTTGATTTATTTTTGTGTTGCATAATTAGGCTATTAGAAAAAAACCAAGCAAATGTCTGGTATTAGTGGTAATCAGTAATTTGAATTTGGTATGCCACTAAACCAATTTCCACCACCACCAGTCCACCTTGTGGGTGGACCGACGAACTCATAAAGGTAGCAGGAAGGCGCTGGATACAGGCCGCTAACCAACCGAGCGATGTGAAAATTATAGGGGGAGAACTATGTTCAGCAATGGACATCCTGTGACTGAAATGATGATTATGATGCCACTAAATAAACAGCCTAGACTTGACACAATTCCGCAGATTGTCTGCAGATATAAAGAAAACTCAAACAGATTTTTTCCTGTAAAAATAAACAAAAACAAATGACGAATTTTGACTAATCTATTTTTGCAACTTGCTTCATATCGGCCCTTGTTATGTTGTTTCGGAGGCGTTCCAGGGCAAGCTTATTTGAAAAAGAAGTAAATAATGATACCTATGCTTAATAATATACCTACGTAGTAACATATTATTTAACATTAAGGCTTTGGGCCCGTCTAGTTCGGCAAAGTGCCATTCTTTCAGTTCAACTTTCGCGATAATGGTGCTTATTTACAGTTACCAAGACCCGTACGGGAACATACATGTATATACATAGGGTGCAATAATAAGATACAAACTTAACCCGTAAACTTCCATCATGTAGAGTGTGTAGAGAATGTGCAAACTTTTAATGGTATCCTTGGTAGAATCTTAGACTATTTTATACACTTAATATTTTTCGAATAATCAAGAAGAAATCGCTCTTTGTTTTACTCGTTTATATGATTTACGCTTTACTGTACAATGACTGTGAATTTTTCATAGGTTGTACCTATATTTGGGTGTAATTAAATGTAATTATTAACTAACTGTAGGAGTATACAATTCAGAAACTTGGAATTTGGTTTTTTGAATTTACGTAGTGAAGATGACATATCAACGCTGGTTCTAATGATTGCTATCTATTTTTCTACCCTAGTTTGTTCTGTTCAAGTATTCTGCTATCAAACCCTTTGCCTTGTTTGCAGTTGTGATTGTGATTGTTAGTTCTGTTAGGTAAGTTTAGGGAAGGGAATCAAAAGCAACAACTGTGCCAACAGAAACTGGACATAACAATCCGTTTGAATAATACCGGTAAAGTGTGAAGTAGTTATAAAGCAGATTTTATTTGTCCAAATTGTCTCGTGAAGCTTTTGGCTAGGCTTTGATAAAAATCAATACGATTGATTGTTTCGAAGCCGTGGTAGGGTTAAATACATTCAATACAATCTTTTTGCTTTTCATAACTGTTTTTTTTTTATTCGGCTTGAACCTTACTTATTGACTACTTGAACGTACTTTTTTCTAAAAATAAAGGTAATAAAGCTCCAATATTGAACTTACCGAAAACCACGTACTTCCACATTTCAAATGTCCATCCGGATTCCACAGCACACAAAAATTTTCAAAGTTTCACTGGCCACTGAACACAAAAAACAAAAAACTCAAAGGGGGTGCGACATAGTGACGCGAGCGTCGGCGTCGCGAGTGTTAGCGTTGCGCTGGCGCAGCTAAAGTCTTTCGGCAGCAAAACCCTACCAACGGGCGTGGGAGATGGTATTGCAAATTTCTGCTACGATTGTCAATTGTACGCTATCGGTAGGCTATCATCAGGAATTTTATGACGTTTAGTTAGGTGGGTTAGGTACTTAACAAAGATAATAGCTGGTGTCTTTGTATCATAGTAGCACCTACTGGGTTAATGCGTTTTCAAATTGTTATGACCGTTTTTGTTAGTCCAAGATACTATTGCATTTTGTAACGTAGACACTGAGAACTAAATCTTGCTGAAAAACACGAGTCTAGAAACCTTTGAAACACTTATCCCTCTCTCTTGACTCTCCCCATCATAGAGATTTAAGTATGCATTTTTCCTCCTGAAATATCGATTTTTAACTTCCCATTGCCTTCTTCAATAGATCAAAACTGATACAAATCACACACTCAAGAATCACATAGAAAAAAAATTGGTATTATTGTTTCCTATTAGGACATTGCATAATCTTGATTGTTTATTGAAAAATCTCTTAGTACATGTTGTTGCGGAGAGTAACCATTGTATCAACAACGCACGGTGTGGCACGGTGTAGCTGGAGCCATTTGACCGCGTCGTCCTAGTAAAGCTATAAATTTTGACAGTGTCTAATGCCCGTTTTCATCAACAATCCCTATTTTTTAAGTGACCCCATGAAAACAAAAGTCCTGTTGTTACCAAAATTAGGGATTGATGGTGAAAACGAGCAATAGCCTAGGTCTATGTAGGCCTTCTAAAATATGTAAAATATGTAGGTAATCTATGCAAATCACATCAAAATCAAGAATTTTACGTAACTTACCAACCTTTTTGCTAATTTACATGTCTAGTGGCGAAACACATTCCATACTATTATTTAGCGAAACCCAATTATTCAGATCAGCTAGAGTCGGTAAAAAGTGACGATCGGTAGTATAATAAGGCATACTTCAATAGGCAAGTGCGTGCGGTGTAGACCGATTTTGATTGTCATGAGAACTGAGGGAAAAACTCTTAACCAACGTGTCACAGATCTAGCAGGTGTGTACAATGTACATGACATAATTACATTAGTGAGATGTAAGTTTGTGCAATGATCGGCGTTTACGACACAGTGAGATGACGTGTAGGGAATATCTGACATAGTTTTAGGAGATTTACTATTTAGTCGCTCCACACAATCCATAAAAACTATAGGTAGAGTTCCATAATAATGGGTGCATTTTACCAGCTAGGATCTTTATAAAACCTAGCCAAAAGAGACTCAGAATTTCGCACCTTTTTCATCCAATCATTATCATGTGATAAGACTTCTTGCGATAAATTATTCAAAATCTTAATACACAGGCTCAGGTCCGTGTGAAACTGAGACGACAAGGCAGTAAATATTGATTGTGAGAATTTGATAAGATACACACGTAGAATGCACTGACAGAAAGCTGAATGAGTTATTCAGCCAGGCTTTTTACTCGGTCCATTAAGTGCCATAATGGGAGGTGACGAAATTGAATCCCTATTTCTAGCAACAACAGAATGAATGAGAAATTCTATTGATTATTTTATTTTCCTTGCCCGTTTTAAAGCATGAACATTTCCATGTTTTCTACTATGGAAAGCGTAAAAATGAAAGAGCTCTAGGATCAACTCATCGTTAAAAGATTATTCCCGTAGAATTAAAAATCTTATGCGGATGCAAATGGATCTAAATGGTAAGTTAATAAAACATGCTATTGATGTTGGCGGTTTATTTCGGCTTAACGACAGTATATCGAATATAATGAAGTTTTTCAAACCCAAGCTTTTCGTATAAGTTTAAAGCTTTTACATTTCTACTCTCGCAATATCCAAAAAGATCTCGTTTCTCTTCTAAAAACTTGTTGCAAAGAAGTTTTAGTAATAAGATTGCATAGCCCTTTCTTCTATATTCTTCAGGGGTGTGCAAATGGGCCATGTTTCCAACTTCACTGATAAAGATCCATGATATTAAAATATTGTCTTTATAAAGGCCATAACTAAGGTCAGCTTTTACCAAGAGCCTGAATAGGCTTTTCGAGCCATCGTAGCGTATTATCCATTTTGAATCAACCATATCGATGTCCTTTTCTAAGACCGACTTAAATTGTATGCCATCTGGTAAACTGCAAGGGAAGTTAATTAAAAGTAGGTTAGTTCGATAATAGAGCTGAATAAGGCGTACTACTAAATAAAGCAATTTATACTAGTAAGAAAGAGAGAGAGAGATTCAAATGATGAGACTGAAATTTTTTTTGTTGCTTTTGGAGTTAGGTTGCAACGTCATCAAGCCTACTATAAAATGACTGACTCATGTATCATTAGTAGTTATGTATACTAATCTATCTTACCAAATATTTTCAAAAGCAGGCTGTGTCTTTTGATAAATAATAACATCCAAGGTAGGCCAGTTTTCCCCTTCAAACACCACTCCAAGCTTTTTAGTCACTCTCAGAAGCATGTCATAAAGATGCTGAGGTATAAATGGCACTGTCATTTCTTGTGTCCAGTCTATGACATTTGTAGTTAAAAGTGCATTTTCAAGCGACTCTGTATCATCTTTTGGGCACTGAATCCAAACTTCATTAAAGTTGTGCTGAAACAAAAGTATCATATTTATTATTGCGTATGATTCAATTTTGCTAAACAGACGACCAGCACGTTAAGGTACACACCACATAGATCTTATGTAGTTGTTATAGGGGTCAATATGCAACAGAAATGTATAGTCTGATGTGTCTGTACCTACCTAAGGTAAACCGACTAGTACGCATAACCAGACACCCCGTATTTTTATGACATCAATCGGCTGTAGACAATGATAAGAATATTATTACCGACACTCGATCCCTGAAATCCCCGTAATTATTTACCCAATGAGCTGGAAAATGGAATGTAATTTTATACCTATCTGTTCAGGAGCGCTTCAGTTTCTTATTTTAGAATTAGTACCTAGTTACATTCGATTTATTGGATTTAGAATAACTGAAACTGTAACAGCTAATACCAAAGTAGTATAAATGTATTACAAATAGTGCTCACTTTGATATTTAAGGCGACCATACCGTTGCTAACGTCACCATAGGGACAGTATACTTCGAAGCCGTAGTTCAGTCCTTTGTCCAGTAGATTTCTTTGGGTTCGTAGTGCTGTGTAGGCCGATATTCCTCTGGGCCAGTCGGCCTCAAATACCGCTTCGAGGTCCCCCCATTTCTCCGGAGGTAGAAATTGTAGTGGGTCGCTTTTGCTATCCATTTTGCGACAGTAAGTAGTAATTCAACAGATTCTACTAAGGTTAATTGGTTTTATAAGTGTTATTTTGTTGTCATAATTATTTATATGGTCGTGATATCTTATGAAATTTATTTGTCAATGGTATCATTACGGCCTATCATAAGTTACGAGTATTTCCAAATAATGATAAGCGTTTATCTGAACTGCATCATCTTGGGCATCGGAACTGAGCACTTAAATGTATTTCAATTGGTTCTAGTATAATGTACACGAAGATTGTAGAGATGTTAGATAACTGCGTAAGAACAAATTAATTGTTATCACGAAATAAATAAAACTGTGTTATCAGTAACTGGCAACAGCTGGGACTGCATTATAGGTAGGTACAACAGGATAAAAACTGCGCTGTCTTCAACGTTTACCTCAAGTTAAAGCAGTATTGACTGCCAATCAAACCGCTTGCTAGAAGCTGTGTAGTACATAATAGTGTGGTTGATGTAATGATGATGGCCTAAATAGTGCTCTGCCGTAGTTTTAACTAATTATTACCTTGCTACTAACTACGTAGGTTCTATTATTGCGGTTATTAGGTTGATTTCAAATCTCAGGTGTTAGATTATTACTGATTTGTAACTAAGTAGGTTTGCTGTTCTCATTCTGCTTTTCTCTACTAAAAAATCCAGCTTTCCAGCAGAAATTAAATTATCTTGATGATGTTATTTTTATGCATACCTACGAGTAAAAAGTGAATACGAAGTAAAAATGCAATTGTTTTTTTAATAAGGTTTATTTTGGCGTTAACATGGTCCAGTTTACATGATAAAATTTCTCAAAACCTAGACTTTCGTACAGTTTTTCGGCACTAACATTTCCCCTCATACAGTACCCGAAAACAGGTTTCTTTTCTTCTAAGGATTTATTGCAAAGCAGTTTCATTACTGTTTTCCCGTATCCTTTATTTCTGTGATCGTCGTGAGTGTACAGATGTACCAAAGCACCTATTTCGTTGATAAAAACCCAGGCAAGCAATTCCTTGTTCTTGAAAAGACCGTAGCCGGTTTTGTTTTTTATTAGCAGTTTGAAAACCCACTTGGAACTGTCATAGCGGTTCGGCCACACGGCGTCTATAGCATCTACTAGGTCTTCTGTTAGAAGTTGAAAGGTTACGTCATCAGGTAAGCTGCAAAAAGATTATAGGTACTTGGGTATTTTTACAGATTTCTGTATTTGTCGTGCTACCACAGATTACTAATAAGTTACTTCTAATGTACGCAAGATGTCAAAAGCTGAGTTGTACCATCTTCCTTTAACTTTAACAAACGTATAGGGACAGTCAATCCATCCCAAAAAAAAACAAACGTCTAAATCTGTGAAACTCCATACAGAAAGCACCGGTTTTCGTTATAGTTACCCCAAAGTTAGGTGGTGCAACTCAGCCTACGTGTTAAATTACAAAACTTGATGGATTAACAACAATTGAAGACAAAAAAAACAAGAGATTTAACTTTCGTTTTTAAAGAAGATCGAAACAAAAGAAGGTGAAGTAGCTACTTACAACAAAAAGTTGTTCTTTTATTTTCTTTCTTACTGATGAACTTACCGAACATCGAATGCGGGCTTGTGTACATCATAAAGCACCAGATCATGAGGAGTGTGTTCATCATCTCCCTCGAAATTCAAGTTTAGTTTTTGGGCCACTTTCTTCACACATTCGTGGGTATGCGGGGGCAAGCAGGGAACTAGGATGGGTGTGGACCAATCTATTATTTTTGTTGATACTAGGGCCTTTTCAAGCTGGGTCGTGTCAAGCCGCGGACTATGAATTATAATCTCGTTTAGTGTATCCTGAAAAACCAATTATAAAGGTGTAATTAATTTCGAATAAGAGGAGGAAGGAAGAGATGTCCTGAATGACTTTTGTTTTAAATATGTATGAGAATATGTTACGTGCTATTTATTTATTAAATGCGCTACAGTGCCTAGGTAGGTAACTGTTTTTTTGCCAGTAGGTAGGTATGTTTATGGAACTCAGGCTAATTATAAAATTACGAGTATTTTTTTATCGAAGTTTTGCTATATCGTCTGGACTGCATTTCGATTTAAAATCGGAGAATAAAATGAAGGATGAAAAAGAAAAAGAAATCATTACCTTTAAATATTTATTATGGTAACCTTACATTTGATTAAAATAAGCAACACGATTTTTCCTAATTTTGTGGTTTTATAAAGCACCATCGCACTTCGTGGAATTTCTCGAAACCTAATTTCTCATATACTTTACAGGCACTTTTATTTCCTTTCCTGCAATAAGCGAAGACATCTTTGCCGTTTTTCAAGCAAAAGTTGCACAAATATTTGAGCACAATCTCTGCGTATTTATTATTCCTGTGTTCTTCTAAAGTAAAGAGATGAGTGAGAGCTCCCACTTCATTGAGGAGGACCCATGAGACTAGTTCATTGTTTTTGAAAAGTCCATAGCCGTAACCAGCTTTGATTAGAATTCCGAATAGCCAGAGAGAACCCTCGTAGCGGTTCCGCCAAGTGGAGTCGACGGTGGAGAGATGATCTTCCAAAAGTGACTTGATACCCAAGTCAGGATTTGAAGGGCTGCAAAATTACACGAGAAATAAACTATGCAGTCAATAAATAAGAAGAATTGAGTGAAACACGAGCCATGTGAATAATAATAGTTTTACATTTTGTACTAACATGTAGGTTCTTTCACTCGATGGATCGACGATCTGGTGAAGGTCTTGAAAATTGCCTGGATACAGGCAGTGCAGAACCGTCCAGCAGTTTGTCTTTTAGTTGAATGTAACGAACGTGTATAGACTTAGATTCTTCTGCTTACCTGGGATACATTGGTGTATGTTTAGGTAACAGAAACAGCTCATTCGGTTCCGTATCTTCCGCTTCTATATCTAAATTAAGGTTTTCTGCTATCCTACGAACACTTTCTAGAATGTGTTTTGGCATGAACGGAACCATTATTTTGTTTTTCCAATCAATGATCTTCGAGCATAATACGGCTGTTTCGAGCTGCGCAGTGTCATCACTTGGACATTGTATTATAACTTCATTGAGTGTGCCCTAAAATTGATCGGAATTCGGAATGATCTGTTTTTATGATTTTTATAAAAATTAACATAACAATAAAATTGTATTACATTCAATGTTTGTTCGCTTTGATGTCACATATTTTCCTTATCGCAATAAACAAACAGATGCTGGTACTTATCTCTTGTTGTATTCTTATTTGTCGTGTCAAAGATGTGCAGGCAATCACTATTTTGAAGGAAAATATTTTCATAATATTTTACTGGCATATGTACTTATTTTTCCGTTTAGAATGAGGTAGGTAGTAGGTAGGTACTCATAAGTCAATCAACATTCTCGTACCGTGTACAACTATTTCGCCATATTTAACGTCACATATTCAAACGATGAAACAAAAACATACTCACTTTCTTGTTCAAGGCCACCATACCGCTGGACACATCGCCGAAGGGGCAATAAACTTTGAATCCGTAGCCCAGTCCGCGGCTGACTAGATCCCGTTGGGTCCTCAATGCGGTGTAACCAGATATACCCCTTGGCCAGTCGGTCTTGAAAGCCTCTTCAAGCTCCCCCCATCTCTCCATTGGTAAATATTGCAAGGAGTCTGTATCACTCATTCTTGTTTATGATACTAAAATACAGTGCAAACTTTTTCCTGTTATGTCACGCTCACGTCGACTAAACGCAGTGGACGAGTCCGCCCGCTTTGTTATGATGCGCATGAGTCACCGAGTATTATTAAAATGGCCGATGTTGCTATATCTATCTGGTCAATATTTTACTGCTATAATGTTGCAAGTGTTTATTAAAATGTAATCTTATCTGTAATGTAACTTTGACTACGTGCTTTTACTAAGGCTTATAATAGATTTAAAAGTGCATAATTTAAAAAGTACCTTTTTACACTAGCGACATCTAATAAAGAATCAAAGTACTTTTCAAATCTTATTTTGATACTCTTGCATCAACAGGGTTTTTAAATAAAAGATTATTGTACTTTTCACTATTTATTTACACTTTAGGTACTTGAAAACATAACGAAGTACTTAGAAATTAATTTCCTTTATCCTTCGTCAAACGGATCCACCACACGTATCCAAGAAAATCAAAACCCAGCTTTTCGAATAATTTTTGAGGTTTGACGTTGTCCTCTAATGTGTATGCCAGTACATCTTTTCCTTGCTGGAGGAGGTCATTGACAGTCACCTTGGTAATATATTCAGCGTAACCCTTCCTTCTGTAAGCATCTAAGCAGTACAGATGTGTGAAGGCACCAGCTTCGTCCACAGTGATCCAGGAAAGAGGAGAATGGTCCTCAGAGGAGTACAGCATGTAGGTGAGACCGTTGTTCATTAAGGTTTCAAACAAGCTGTAAGAACGATCACTGTAGAACGTCCAAGTTTCATTCACTAGTTTTAGGTGCTCACGTTTCATAGGACCAACATATGTGTTTACTGGGTCACTGGAAGTAGGAAAATAATTTTAATAAGCACTTAAATTTTTTTTTTCTATAAATTAAACGTTAATGTCTTTTGATAAATTTAATATACGTCATTGAGACCCGAAATTCAACTCCCTCAAGGAGGAGAGCGTCTCCTCCTTGAACCGTGTAGATTTTTTAGTTTTCACAACAGTGACGTCGCGTCATCTGGATTAGATTAAACTTATTCGGCCTCAACATTAATTATTTTGTTTTTATTNTGACCAAAAATTCTGAGGGATTTCAAACCTCTGGAAAATGCTCCTCAAAGCGATTGAGCCCTGTTTTATACTGCTCGACCACTCAAGTGCAACTCCTAGTTTATGGGAATCAGGCGTGGGTGTTTGTATTGTGCGTTGTTTGTGATATAGGAGCACAAAAGTAAAAATCACGGAATTGAGGCACACACGTCGGACAAAATTTAAATGTGTTACTGTATTAAAACCCAAGGACTTACGATAAAGAAACTCATTTATATAGCTTTATTAACTATCCCTTGTTCTGTGAATGTGGGTTTCATAATGGGGAAGTTATTATTTCAAAAGTTATGAAGCAAAAACGAGTAAATTCTGGAAACCGGACACTCCATTTTAGGCCAAATTTCGCCCGTTTTTGAACTTTCGGATTTTGTCAAGGCGAGATGTAAAACCTGGCGGTCTTCTAAATATGCTCTCGCCTATCCATCAAGTCAAGAGTCCTATAAATACGTGTGATTTTTTTCAAGTCCGTACTTCAATTTTAAAGGTACTTTTTTCGCCCCAGTAGGTCGATCGGTCGTCCCCGTAGAAATGCCCATAAATGAAGTTTAGTGCCTTTAGAAGAAATTTTAAAAGTGCAAGAATAGTTGAGACCCGAGTGGAATGTCTTCTACAATAATTCCCGTATTGTACCGAATATTGATGTCAACGTAACTGTAACCTCACCACGTTAGATCTCAACTAATTAGCATACAAAAATTAGTGCNGTTTTTATAATTACCTTAAATCAAATGGTTTATTATCTCTGTCAAGTAGATGTTTACAGCATCGGTTTTCGTATATAATTTTTAAATCCAATCGACTACAAAGCCTTTTCAGGGCTGCCACAACATTGGCACTAGCTGAAGGCACAGTGACAACTCTATTCCAGTCAATGACAGATGTTTTATACAATGCATTTTCCATTATAGATACATCTTCTGTTACAGGACAAATATACACTTGGTAGTATTCCTAAAAAGATGAAATTAACTAGTCGTACGTAGATCTAAACAATGCAGCAATGTATGAAAAAATAATTTTTGAATGTCAGGATATTACCTTATCACTAATTGCAACCAATCCATTAGCAATCTTGCCGCCTGGGCAATAGAATTTGAAACTAAAAAACTCTGTAAGAGCAGGATATAAAATATTGGCGTTGAGGAGGCAAAAGCCCTCTACTCCATGCGGCCAGTGAGTTCGAAAGAGATCTCGTAGTTTTGGCAATTCACTGTTTGGTACTTCTAGTAAGGAATCCATCTGTTGAGGTACAATTTCTAATGAATAAGAGCATTAAGAAAAAAATAACCCTTTATTAGAAATATACAAACTTAAATTTTATTTGATTATAAAATTAAAACAATTTTTTTAGATCATAATTTATTAATTTATTCAATATTCTATTGCAAGCGGTTTTCTAATCTTAGGCAGAGACATCTACAGAATCTACACTGATGCTTATAAACGATTTTAGCAAATGGTACCAAAAGCATCCACCTTGAGTGAGCGCGCTACTGTGCGCAAACATAATATCAACAAAAATTCTCAAATATTATGTTTCTAAACAAAATTATCGTTATCATCACATAAAAAATAGTTACATGTATTATAGAATTAAAATTATTGTATCCAAAATAGAAATCAGGCATAGGAAATATTATAACACAGTATTTTTAATTTATTACTTACGGTAGTGAATACACGATTGGTTTAGTTTCACAATAACAATAATATCATTATAGAATTAAACTTTGATAAGTATTCTTATGCGAACATGACTAGTTTCATTCACAATTTTCTCATTTAAGATAAACTGATAAAAATAATCCTAGCTATTCATCAACCTACTAATTTAACAACTACTATTTTAACGTTTAATCGGACTCGTGTAATCGATTCTCCAAATATTTTTGTAGCGATAAAAGCTTAGAGGAAACAACAAATGTTAATTTTTTAAAGATCTTTGTGATCATCATCATCAATGGGTTTTCAAGCAAGGTAATTTTGTTATCTAATGTGCAGGGCAATGAAAGATTACATTCACAGAGTTATTTTTTTAAGACCGCTCTCATCGTTCACTAAACGTGCAAATAACGAGAACATAATCTGGAATAGGCGGGATATTTGATATTCCCGCGCTATTTTAAGATAGATAGTTTTCAATTCTCTACAAATAGCAATATTTTAACATACCTAGGTAGTAGGTATAAGGTATGAAAAATATACTTGTATTAGTATACTAGGTAGTGTAAATACGTTAGATTGATGTTGAGAATGATAATGAAAAATCGTCTAGACCCTCGATGAATTGGAGTTTGCTCACGTTAATGACATGACGTCACACAACTGGAGGGTGATGTCAGGGCTACGAAATTAAGATTAGGAGATCGGGTTGACCAAGGGCAAATACATAGTTGGAAGCTTGGACACGCGTTGTTAATTATAGTCATCTACATCTAAAGATTTCTCGATTAATTGACCAATATACATAACACAAAATACTTAACCCGACTGAAACTTATGAAGTTTATCATTATTTGATACGACGCGACATGGAAATATCTCAATTCTGTTTTCTGTATGATTGTAAGTTATTTACCTACTTAAAATCTATCTATGGACTGATAGAGTCATTGTAAAGTACCTACTTAAAAGGTTTTAGACAAAGTTACATGTATATAAGTAGGAGTCACTGAAAGTTTTTAACTAAATGTAATATACAAATTATAATAGAAAGCTCTATTTGCTTATTACGCATTATGCTAATTGGATTTGTAGTGTACAACTATGTTAATGAAAATGCTTTGACTCTGAAAATACAGCGTGTTTGTGGTTTTACGAGTATACTAGTTTTTTAACCTTTCAGTGTAAACATACTCGTTTTATAGCATTTAATTTTAACAGCAGCTGCTCGACAATTGTCTATAACGAATTCATGCTAAATGCATAACTACAAAATGCACTCAATAGATGTCATACTAACCTATCTAAAAGAAAACTATTCCATAGATCTAGGGCAATTATGTTGTACCTACTTAATTAGAGCAATTAGTTTGCTGAAGTGACATCGTTTTTTGCTGAAGTTATTTTCAGTTTTCATAAGAAAATATGAAACGTGTAAATTATTGTTCCAAATATTTACCTAACTAGTACCTATTATGTAATTTGTGCTTATAGCTTGCTATATAAAATCGAACTTACATTGCGCTAAGAATAAACTACCAAGTGTGCGAGGTCTGAAGTTAGTTCAATCAGACTCCTACATTTTTGTTTCAAAATGGTTCTATTATACTACTTGTATGACATGGTGTAGCTTAAACTGAGTTGCACCACCTAACTTAACGATAATCGGTGTTTTTTGTATAGGGTTCGACAGATTTTTGACGATTGTTAATGTAAGATGGTGCAACCCAGCCTTAATGTGCCGTGTGCTGTACTTTGATTAACGTCCAATTAGGAAGCCAGATGGAATGCTAATTTATTGTCCCACTTAGAGCAGTTTTCCTTCGTTCAAACTGCATACGGCACTACTGTGATACTGAGTTGTGAGGTCTTTGCATTTAAATGTAGCATTAAGGATAATTGTAGTAGCTTGGCAGAATGCAAAGTGGAAGCACGAAACAAATACCAAGACGGCTGAAAAAGGCGTTAAGGACGCTTTTTACTTCTCACTCGGATAGCAATGTGCGTGCAATCTTACCTACACGTAGCTAGTAGGTCAAGGATGGCGAGCACTCAAACTGATTCTGCAAAACGACTTTCTTCTCTGAATATTCAATATTTGTCGTAAGCATACCGATTGCTGCGATCATTGGCGACGGTCAAAGCCCTAATACTTAAATTGGAAAAAGATCAAGTTACCTCTACCTTATGCACATTCTGTCCCTTTTGTACAAGTCAAGTTACATTGGAAATTGGCATTTTTATACACTACATACAATTTAAATGAATGACTGTACTTTAAGTAGTGGTTTTCTGAATGCTGTCAAAACAAATAATTGGTCTGTAATTTTATTTGGTAAATAAATGAAAAAAGAACCATCTTTATTACTGCTTGGCACGACAATGTTAAGATCTTTCATCCCAACAGTGTTCAAACTGCCCGGTTCGTTGGCCCGGGCCCTCGGGGCGTATTCCCGGGAACACTTTACAGCAGGAAAATTTCCCAAACTAATAGCAGTAGATGACCCGTGAACGAGAAACTTTAATGAACATACAGATTACTGGGGAACACTGAGGACACTTTCGGCAATCGACTACAAAACGATGTAAATTGAGCCTTTGAGTGCTTATGGAACAATTTAAGCGAAAACTTTTGACATTTTGAGCAGGCTTGATTTTTAAATGTAAAGATCTTCGGTCCACCGATTGTGAAGCCTTGGACGTTTTTTAACGGTCATTAGTTTTATGATGGCATTCGGGAAGGAAGGCCTTTGTCGAACAATTAATAATATCAACGTAAAGTATCTACCATCGTGAATACACCATAGAGTAATGATTTTGGAGGTTCTGGAGTGGAGGCCACGTACCGGAAAACGCAGCGTAGGACGTCCACCCACAAGGTGGACCAACGACCTGACTATGTAGCAGGAGGGCGTTGGATGCAGGCCGCTACCAACCGTGCGATGTGGAAGTCATTGGGGGAGGCCTATGTTCAGCAGTGGACGTCCTGTGGCTGAAATGATGGTGATGAAGATGATAATGATTTTCAATATAAAATAACATTCTAGGCATCAGTCTAATCCTAAGTAAAAGTGGTAGAAAATACAGTTTGACTAGCAATACCCAAAAAATAACTTGACTATTATCTTATACAAAAAAAAGAGGGTCTTATGTGCTACCATAGGAATTCTGTTCATTGATTTACCTTGTACCTAACACGGATAATGTGGTCTGGCTGGATTAATTCCAAGTCGGTGCAATATGCTGGGGCTATGGTGTCGTGAGTCTGACCTACATTTAATTTTCTGAGACTAGCGATTTGTAAACTGCAAATGTAAACAGCAGCCTGTTTTTTTCGTAGGTATCCCATAAATCAAGCTGATCATAATATCATTTTGAATAAAAAGGTCGGTATTTTCGTACTTGTTAACTTATTCTCATAACCGCATCAATTGCAAATTATAAAGGCGTTTCAGGAATAATGAGAAAAAAATAATTTTGGTGTGATCAACACTTTATAACATTAGCAGATAGCCGAAAGATCGATGGCGATTGAAGCCCTGATTAAGCGATACATGCAAGAAGGAATATAGCTTCACTCAAGAATACTTTAAAGAAGCCTATGGATTAAGCCAAAGAATTTAGCCTATTATAGACTTAAATCTACAATTATCTTTAGGTAGGTTTTGAGCTTCGTTTCTAATTACAGGCCTGAGACTGAACTTTGAAGATATTTTAATAACGTGAAATAGTAGACACCTAGAACTTTTAATTACAAAGCTGGTTGATCTTGAAATACAAAATTGGCGTAGAAATTGATGTTACTTTAAGTTACTTGAATTACATAACCAGACGTCATAGTTTATCTTTTCTGATATAAGCAAATAGTGACGTCAATAGATGCAGTTTCAGACTTTAATTAGCGATTGCAAGCACTTTATGTAAATTCAACTGAAGTTATAAATTGAAACGAAACTTGTGAAGTAGGACAGCAAACTTCTTTGACGGCTCATGATCCGTTGCGATCGAGTTTGATCCTAGTGAGTAGTGAGAGAGACGTCGTGAGAACGGGAAAATCTATCTAAATGGGGAGAGGAACGTCGTCAGAACGGGAAAATCTATCTAAATGGGGAGAGGAACGTCGTCAGAACGAGAAAATCTATCTAAATGGGTTCGTTCTGAGATACAGCGTTATCAAACTATGTAAACGGAATTGCATACGAGTAAGTACAACTAGAGCTGTCAATTAAGAGCGAGATGCGATGTAATGACCTATACAGAAGACAAGATAAAAAATTACGAGAACTGTGTTTGCAATAGAAACTTAACTGAAAATAGTAGTATTGTGAATCAGTAATTAGACAGTGTTAGCATTATGTAGGATAAATCTTCAAAAGGAGTCATAAAGCTTATGGCAAAACGATGGAGGTGATAGTATAGATTGTACCTACTGCTCTTTACGTGAACTTAGGTACTATTAATTAATATTTTTGCTATCCTGGACTTTAGGTCTACTACTCAACGAACGCCTTCCTCAATAATTTCTCAAATATCGTAGCTACGCCGTGCTACGTGGTACTACTACGGCCGCTACATTGTCCGCGTAGCTACGAAAACTTTCAGCTTTTTTCTTGGTTACCCAGTGTGACCACCAATTAGTTTGAAAATTTAGTACAACTCTATTGTACAGTCGCGGAATGAAAAGGTTCGTCAGTTTTCAAATTGATTCCTTCAACGAATCGCGAGCACATATTACCTTTTCAAACTATGTTACAGAATAATCTCGAGTTAGAGAAAATAATCTTCGTTGTAAACACGTTGTATATTATAATTTTACGATGATGATTAGAATTGTAATTGAAGTCACATTTTAAATGGGTATGAAAATATTTTAATACTCAATCTCACATTAAGTAACTTGTGCCTTCTTCCATCATTTAGAAGGTATAAAAGGATGCCCCGCGAGGGTCAGGACAGCACGTGACGCATAACCTCGGCAATACAAGCGGGAATATGGTAGCCATCAACATGAAATATGGGGCTCGTGAACTCATTTATAAGCAGGAACTGGATATATCAACTTACGAGTAGAAAATGTATGTGAAAGTCAATTTGCGACCGCAATAAAGGTGTTTCTTACGATTTTTGGAGTGGGAAATGGTACGAGTACAG